TTGGGGAGGGAATGCAAAAAGCAGCTTGTGTATGTATGTGCCTTAGTGTGGAAATCAGTGTTGGCTGGAAGTGCCTGGGTGACCTCATGCACATCTGTGTGTGCTCCACTAATCAGCGGAGAGTTTTTACTGGGAAAAAGTTCCTCTTATATCACATGCTGGAACAGACTATTAAGCTTTTAAAGCTTTTAAGCTGAAAATGGTAAAAAAAAAAAAAAAAAAAAAAAAAAAAAAGGAAATAAAAAAAAGAATTATAAAACAAGAGTCTTAAATGTCATCAATTGTTTGACTGGGATCAGCTTGCTGACTCCAGCAGCTGCTCCTGTTCCTAGTTGCCATATCTTATTCATAATCTGCAGAACAGTAACTAGATCCAACAAACTCATTTGACTGCCACGGTTGTTTCTCGGCTGCCGCTCATATGTGAGTTTGTTCATGAGTTCTGCTGAATTACTCAGAGATACTTGTTGCTATTATTATACTTGTGAAGAATCAAATATTACTTTAAGTGAGTGAAGCATCATTTCTATCACACTTTTAAAGCCCAACCCAAAGTACAACAGAAAATGAAACTATAAAAAAAAATCAACAGAGTGATACAAACAATGCAAACAGGAAGTATCAAAGCATAGTTTAAAAGCTTTCAAAAAGTCTTTTGAAACTGTCAATACAATTTGTTTTGAGTCTGGATTGGGTTTTTTATTTGAAGTGTAATTTACAGATCATCAGTGTAAGAGCTTAGCAGGTCTGCTTTTATAAAAACTCAAACGTTTTACTGATCAGCTATCATCTTGGTGCCATGAAACAGAGGTTGAGTGGCGACTAAATATCTGTAATAACTTAAAATAGCTAGACTTTCAACACATTTGGTTAACAAATGTTAGCATGCTATAATTTTAGTATATTATTTTAAACTAATAATTAAAATATAAAATTTAAATGTAGATACCAGAATGCATAGTAAAGGTTGTCCAATGATACAGAATTTAAAATACATAGATTTAAATTTGATCAGTCTTAGCTTTTAACTTAATCATGGTGTTTATTCCTTCTGTCTAAGATTTGTATCATTTAAAAGCTCTGAGGCAAAATACCATGAAATTATTTATATCTCAAAAGTAGGCTCCACAAAAAGCCCAAAACTTTTATTGGAAAATTGTCTCATTTCTTTATTTTCATCATTCCTTTTTTACACTTTTTTTATTTTTTCCAGAGTCTGTAACTCAATAGCACATCTATTGTGCAAAGAAACATAGCCCTTCCATTGGTTTCCTTCTGAATGTTTTTCTTTCTACATATTTATTTGAGAGTAGAAACAATTTTATGACATCCATTAAAGGCAATGAGTTCATATACTTACTAGACATTTCATCGCTGTGTGTAAAAACTTATGCAGAACATATCAAGCAAGCATGTTAAAGAATGTTTACATCTCCTAGGGGGCATACAAAAATATAACATGTTAAGAATATCATCCAGCCTTACTTAGATAATCAAATGTGTGTGTGAAGAAATACATAAAAAGTATATTTTTGCACAGATTAAGCAAAATAGTTCAAAAGCTCCTCATATGGGTAATAGAGGTATTTATACTTCTTGAATGTTTAGAACTTGCAGAGGTATAATAATTTTTAATCCGCCAAAAAGTTTATTCCTAAAGGAAAGCAAGACAATTTCTGACTAACAATGAAAAAAGTTCATAAATATGCATGTTTGTGTTTATTTTTATTGTATTTCTAAACATATTTTTTCTCTCCTGCATCATCACTGGAAATTTTTTAGGTCTGTTAAACCTTTCCTATCGCTGCTATTTTCCCACTGGTGTTTTCCTTTTTAGTGAACTTCAGGTCTTTCAAGGTGAAAGGAAATCTTTCAATCACTTTAATTTGTATCTGCCTCAACAGCTTATCATATACAAGTTTGGTCTCCTGCAGGGCCCCTTTTAAGTGCCAAAGTTAGTGTTGTATCAAAGAAAGATTTTGTCAGAGAAAATATTTTTAAACCTCTATCTGTTAGCTGTATAAATAATTTTGGTTTTAATGCATACGGCTTTCTTAAGCTTTATGTTTATTTATAAATACTTCAGCAACCAATGTCTCACAAATTTACAACAATCAAACAAGGAAAAGTTAAGGACCTATTTATTCCAATAGGACTATATACAGAAAATTCTAATGAGTTTTTGTGAAATCTGATTCTTTTGCATGGTTGTTTACATTTCCAAATATATGCGACTTGTACAGTATGTGATGAGCTGCATTCATTCTACAACTTAAGGTGTCATTAGTAGCGAGCTTGTTCTGTGTTTATGAAAGTAGACATTGATTGTAGTACCAGAACACATCTAGCAGTCTTTTATTCATCTTCCAACCAGCATTAACAATATAATATTTTAAAAAAGATCAAAAAGAAATACCATCTCCACAATATCATCCTCCATGGCTGTTTGCCCCCTTCTCCTACATTGCAATACGCATAATAGAGACCTTATTTGAGTATTAATTACATTCAGATCAGATTAATGCAACCTGGCCCTTCGGACACATGTTGGATTATGAAAGATCAGATTTGTATCAGATTTGGGTCACTTCAGGCTGCTGTGAGCCCATATGTGACCTGTATCTGATCTTTTCTAACATTCTGGACAACATAGATCAGATTTTTTCCAATGTGTCCCAGGCCACTTGGTAATGTGCTCTGGAGAGCAGTCTGTTTTTCAACAAATATTGTGTTGTTAATCTACTGGCTGAGGTTGAGAAAGAAATGAAAGATTGCATGATGCGCTCCAGCACTACCATCTATGTTTAGTCTGGATTGGATTTCTCAAAAAAAATTTAATTGAGGATTAAGGCCTGCAGTGTGAACATAGCATTAATCATGCAACAAAAAAATTTTTACTCAGACATAGTAAAACAATGTACCTTTTGTGTCTATCACCCCAATATAGACACACCATTCAAAATGGTGGATTATCATAAATGAAACACATAAATCCTAGACACTGAAGCACCAAGTGTTTTACAAAATATCGGTATGTGCCCTTTTTTCATCTTTATAGCTATGTAAAATATGTTGTTAGATTTACCAGCGTGGTTTATTTTACGTGTTTTTTTTTTATCATCTCGTGAAATTCATGAAACAATTCATGAAAAGAATTGTTCATGTAAAGTAAAATGAAGAATAAAAAAGCCTTTTTATGAAAGTTTCAATTGAATTTGAAGAGCATGTATGAAACTGTAAAAAAAAAAAAAAGAAAAGCTCTGTGTTTACCCCTTTAAATTTTCTCTCTTCGATTCTTTCCTGAGAAGAGATCACCCAGGACAAAGTCTTTAAACAACATCTCATAATGTATATGTGTTAAATAATCATGAGACATGACAACAGATTTTGACAGAAATTGTAATCTCACTCAGACCAGAGAAATTGCTAAGGGTTGCAGGAGGCATCGCTTACCAACTGGCAGAGATGGGAAGTAATGAAGTACAAATACTTCGTTACTGTACTCAAGTAGATTTTTCTGATATTTTTACTTTACTTTACTACTTATTTTTATGGCGACTTTTTACTTCTACTCTTTACATTTTTACACAAATATCTGTACTTTCTACTCCTTACATTTTAAAAAATTGGCTCGTTACTTTAGTTTTGAATCATTTCAATGGAGTTAGCGTTATTATTTTTCACGTCATCAATACCAAATAAAATCTAATTGGATGGGAATATACGTTGCATTTGACGCACCACTACAAGATGAATCGACAGATTCGGCGGTATTCATTCGCGGCAAATCATTGCAGCTTGGTGGCGGTGGCGTTAGCATAGTAGTATGGACGATGAGATGATTGAAAATGAACACAACGGAGATCTAGTCCTATTGGCAGACATCCATTTAAAATTTAGGCAACGGCATAAAAAAAGTGGTTTCTACTTTTACTTTTATACTTTTAAGTAAAATTACAAGCCTGTACTTTGTGACTTTTACTTGAGTAAAAGTATCTGTACTTTTACTCAAGTACGGAAAGTGAGTACTTTTGCCATCTCTGCCAACTGGGTTCACTTTTCCAAACAGTTGGCCCCTGAATCACATTTAAAGAAGCATTTTATACAACTCCAGTATGCCACATGGTCACATCATTACATCATAACATCATACATGTTTGTAAATAGGAGACATTCCTTGCTCCAGCCATATCAAAATAAAAGTGTTTTTAGATCAAGGCTATTCTGAATGCCCTGTGAGAAATAGCTTGGTGTGAAGAGTCTTCCACTCTGTCTTTATACTCTCATTCAATTTTCAAATCGCTGTTATGAACATGATAACTGTATATCCTGAAAGAGCAACTGTCCTAACTAGATATATAACTTTTGAATACATTAGTTTAGACACATAAAGGGCAGGTATTATTAGGGGTAAACAGACTCACATGTAATTGATCAAAAAAACAAAAACAAAACATTTCCTTCATTAAGATTAAAAACATAAATATAAACATAAATATTTGTAGTTGCCTCATTAACAGGTGATCCAGCATGGTGTATATGGCATTCATTGCTTCTGCAGCAAGAACACCAAGGGTCAACTTGAACTTCAAAACTTGCTGAATTTTTTTTTTTCTTTTTTGAGCACAAAACTTGAAGTTATTTGATTGGAAAACTTTTGGAGTTCCCCATTTTAAATTCAGAAAAAGGACTTTTTTATTTTTGCTTTCAAACCGAATCTTCAAAAAGTCACAAGATGTCAAAATGTAGAAAGAAAGCAGCTTCAGCAGAAGAGCCACGTTTTCCTCCATAATTATTCTTCCCTCTGGAATTACAATATACACATGCACAACAGTGTGCACATATCCAATGTTATGATATCATCTTACTATCCCCTTGGGAGAGTCACGTGACTTCTGTTAAGATGGGGGGTGGAGGGTCAAAGTGTTTCAATGAAAACCACATGTAGGGAGGGGAGAGCTGTGACTAAGTTGAGAGGGATAACCCAACATGAGCAATAGAGCAGAAAACTGGGGAAAGGAGAACAGGAGCAAGGAAGCACTAGAGTGAGGTACCAGGACCAAGATCAGAATTGGAGCCACGGACCAGTTGCAACCCCTGCCAACATGTCAGAGTCAATCAAGAGGAGAAACTCGAGTAAGCAGCTACTGCAAAACCTCATCAGGTGAGACACCATGCCTGATAACTATGGATCATCACCTACAGGATTAGGCAATAACTTAACAAAATAGACATTTGGGATTTTTAAAATGTACTCCAGGAAAACATCAACAATCAGAAAAAAAAGTTTGCTTGTTTAACCAGCTAAGAGAGAAAAAAAGGACATGGTCATAAGAGCATGGTTTTTCCGAATTATCTTTGTACAGTAGCCCTTTGTGTATAAAAGTAAACAACTTATTATTTACATAGGAAACCAAACCCTGAGAGTTTGGTTTTAGACTTTAAAAACAAATGTATTTTTTAAGGTCCCAGAACAACTAAATAAATCTTTATGTATTCGGGTGCCGGTATGATTAGAATGCATCAAATGAAATCTAATGACAAACATTTTCAAAGAAATACAAAAAAGGAAAATTTTACTATTTTCTTTGTTATATAAAGAAAGTATATATATTGTTCCATCTATGGTAGGTCAGATATACCGAAATTATTAGAAGATAGACATAGAAAAATTTGAAAATAAAAAGGCTTAAAGAAAAGTTGGATCCTAAAGCTGCACTCTGTAGTGAGACACTCATATCCCACTTCATTTTCACACAGACACACCCCCATACACACCCCTCCCCAGATATACACAATACAGATTGCACACAAACACATCTGCTGAGAAATAATCATGAACTTTGGTTATGATTTAAACTAAAATTTCCAAGTTACAATAACTGATTATCAGAAATAAATGGCTAAACAATGCTCATTTCTCTTTTTCTTAAAATAAGTGCATTTGTTCATGGATTGAGGAGGTAAAAGAGACATTTTGCCAGTGGAACAAGACAATTTGCACTTAAAATAAGAAAAAAACAATCACATTGTTGTATTTCAAGTGCATATCATCTATTTATCTTATTTTAAGAGTAGAAATACTCATTCCATTGACAAACTATCTCATTTACCCACTCAAATCAAGCGTAAATACACTTAATTTAAGATTTTTTTTACTTATTTCTAGATCGTTTTTTACAGCGTACATGATGGAGTGAATTTCCACACATGGTTCTCAGCCAACCATAACTGGACACCTTTGGCAGTGTGGACTGGGTGCAACTTTATATTTCCAATGTAGATGACTGCGTTCATTTTGATTATGACAAAACATACTCACAGAATCCAAGCAGATCATTCCAATCCATTTTCCCCAACATCTCAACACAGTTCTGATGTTTTGACATTTTCTGAAAACATCTGTGTAAATTCGCTTTTGAAGCTCTAGGTCCAGCTGCAGTGAATCACCCCAAAACTCTTAGATACACTTTTTTTCTAACTTTTAATACTTTAACAGCTCTATCCTTGTTGAAACTTTTCACACAGCATATTTCCTTACTCCAAACTCTCTATCAGTATTCCGGATTGAATACTGTAATCATCAAGCTTTTTTATCAGAGACTCATTATGACTTATCCTCATTTCTATGACTTTATGCTGAAATATTGCCAGCTGCAGGTCAGGGGGATTTTCCATGATTATTAACTTTCGTAACAAAAAAGTTGTAGCATTTTGCTTTATTTTGCTGTGAAAGTGTTTGAGAACTAGTAATTTAGTTTTTTTTCTATTGGTTATGAGAGTAAAAGCATAAAAGAATAAAAAAGAAAATCAGAAATGATCGTTTAGGATTACTCAAATAAACATTTTGAATCTTAGCTTTTGATTATATTCTTAGTGATTTAACCTTTTAACAGTGGAAGACCAGTTTTTTAAAGGAATTCTACTGAATTTATACAGAAATTGAATAGATAAACAAAACAAAATTTTTGTATAGAAACGTTTTAGGTGTTATTATCAGGGTGTCTACTCTAATCCAAATATGGTCACTTCCTGTTCCAAAACAGACCAACCAGTTGTTGACTAGATGCATTAAAGATCTTAAACTCTATTAAGGAAACCATTTAGATTTGTTGGAGAAAATTGGTCAAATGTAATCAAAACAGCTTGAATAAAACTTTTACTTGCCTTTTTAACTGTAAAATGTTTTACCATTAAAAAAAGACATTCAACTGTCAAAAACTGTCATTCGGTGCACATTGACAAAGCATTATTCTATCAATTTTATTCAAAGAGAATTTAAAGTAACAGTCCGTAACTTTTGACTAAAGTATTAATCTAGTTTTACTTAAACTGTTCTCTGTGTATTGTTACTTCCAGTCAACCCTCATCATTGTTACTTATCTAGCTGTTGAGGACAATTACTAGATAACTATAATGAAAATGACACACAACTCTCCATTCAATGGTTTCCTTTGTAATTTGCGTCCTCCTTAACAGCCATGACATCATCTGGCTGGGTCCAGAACCCCCTTCTGTTAACACACACACAAAGAGAAGGCCGTTCCCAAAGACTTCATTGCCTCATTGTTGAGGTGGTGGAAAATGTGATGTTTGTCGAACAGATCTCCTCTATAATTTGCTTTCTGCACATAACAGCTCCACATCATCATGTTAAATGTCCCAGAATACCTTAGGGACAACTGGCAGGCCAGACTGCCATGCACTGTGATTGTTGCTACATGTGCCCTGCAGCCCTGCATTTTTTATAAATGACAACGTTAAATAAAAGAGACAATAAACTGAGCACAAACTGCCAGTTTTATAGAACAGATGTTTTATTATACATTAGCCCATACAGTGTGCAGGTAATTTACAAGGTGCAAACACGTAGGTTGGTGTCACATTAAGTATGTAGCTTGTCTACAGATAAAGTGTTATCAACCACAAATCTTTGCCACAAGAAGAAGTCCTATTTGAGATTATTTTAAAGTTTAATATGACTTAGTCTTCATTTCTCCTTAACTGTTAAATAGGCTTCTGCTATTCTTTATGTTCCATCAGCTTCTTTCAAAAAAATTAATAAATTTGACAACATCTGTGTTTGCTGCAACCGCCACTACATCATTGAATATTGTTTTATGTTCAAATGTTATGAATTTGGATGTTATGCTAATTATTTAGGAACTATTATGTAAAAACAAATTTGAATTTCCATTGCTGTGAAAAGCTAATGAATAACTAAAACACCAAACTAACAAGAATTCATCGTATTTTAAAAAAATTACTACAAATATAGAACTTTAAACAGTGTCTCAGCATATTTTCCATTGACCATATCCATATCCGGAGATCTATTAAATGACACCTGACCAAAGACTATGTTGTTCAGAAGTTTTTAATCATTATTTGCTCAGTATGTAATTTGATAATGTGTAAAAACTAAAGCACAGATTCAGGTGCTATTAAAAATGTTTTCCTGGGGAAGGTTTATTGTGAAGTGATGTTGTGAACAGATTTAGAGACACAGCTAGTAACCTAAGAACAAGTATTGAGACAGAAGTGAATAAGTTAAGGGAGAAAAGAGCCAAATGGTAAGTTAGATCTGACACAGGCAGTAAACACAGCTGGTAGTCTGAAGGTAGCAGGTCAGACAAGTGATGCGGGATTTCTCATACCATAGCTTTGCCTTTAAATTAAAAAAGATGAAACTAGTATAAAGTTATCACACAATGGAAACAAAGCAATTTCCATACAAATTTTGAATAAGACATTTCATGACATATGGTCTGTTTCTGTCATTATGAAAACTAATTGAATATCTGGTGATAAAACCAATGGTTTCTATTGGATCTGATTAGCCACATTATTAAAGAGTATATTTAAATAAACTAAAGGCTGTGTTTCTAGACACAGAGCAACAATATGCAACTAGTCATTTAAGAGTTACAAAACTGAAGTAGATACAGAAGCAAAGAAAGGAAATCATAGAGGTGGTTCCAATCAATAGAAAAACAGAACCGCTGTTATTCTGGAAAATGAGGCATTATCCCCAAAGATTGTTATCCTTTTCATGTCTACAACTTGTTCCAGACTTCTTTAGACTGAAATAAACCAGTAGGGGAAAATCATTATAAAAAATCCTTTCTTGGAGTGGTTGGGCATGGAGTGCGTTAGGTTGTATGTTTAGTCACTCATCTTTTGATGTAGGAAAGAATGCATCCTAAAGAGAGATTGTTAAGAATACTCAGAACTTTAACTTTTAACCTGCCTGCCTACTGTTGCCATCTGTGAGAGACATGATACTTTTCCAACCAAGCCTAAATTATATTCTAAAAACTTTTTTCTTGAACATTTCAATTTTGGACACACATTTTTTAATTCTTTACATTATCTTCACTCTGTATCCTGCAAGAAAATAGATAAATATTACTGCTAAAATGACTTTCTTTGCAAATACTTTGAAATACATGAATTTGATCCCTAAGAACCTTTGTCATGCTTTGCAGACATGCCTTATGTCTTATAAGTGACTATAAATCGTAGTGACTGGGTTAAAATGTGAAACCAATCAATATGTGCTTCATGCTTCCATCCCTTGGAGATTATTTCTGTCAGCTGTGAAGAGAAACAGACCAAACTTTATCCCCAGTTGACCCACTAACTCCCACAAAATGGGCAATGCAGCCCTCTTACATCAGATTCATTTAGTACGGTTTTAGTGCCATAATAATATAACATAACAGCCAAACCACAAGTTAAATTTTCTTACCCATTTTGTCCCATGAAATCTCCTCATCAGTGACCATGTAAGCTAGCAGGTCTCACGTGGTGCTAAGCTACAGAGATTTTCTTAATTATGTTTCAAGCCATTTAAGATGCTTTTCATAATACTTGTTTTCCACACCAAAGTGTAATAGAGCCCAACACCATCCTGCTTCTACACAATTACCTAAGGTACCACTCCTTGTCCAGTTCCTGCATTGCTTTCTCACAAGGTTCAGATTAAGTGAAACTGCTCAGCAGCTGAATCAAGTTTATCCAGATGTGCTTGAACAATGAAGGCTGTTATTGTTGTTTAATTTCTCCCAGGAAACCAACACCAAAAGAAATGTGATGATTTTTCTCTTAAAACAAAATGTCGTCTTCTCACCTTTTAACTAATGGAAAAGATTTTCAAACAAAAACTTTTCCACTAATGCATTTGTTACCCAACAGAATAGAAAACAGATATTTTTTAGGATATCGTTTTATTTTATATCTTAATTTATAAATAGTTTCTGAGTGTGAGTACTTGAGAATCAGACTTTTTTTTGCATAATCTTTAGCTCTATCCAAAGGTAAGCAAGTTAGTTTTGGCTTTCATTATTTATATTTATTTAATTGCAGCTTTGGGTCAATATAAATCTGCCTCTAATCAAATTACATCACCTAAACAAATCCTAAATTTCTGTTGATTTTAGTTCTGACTACTCTTAATCAGTCTGGTATACAGCTTCCTGCTGTGGGGCTCTATGTAACTTTCTAGCTTATCCAGAGTCGCCATATCCTCACTCATTATCCTTACTGGATTTCTGATGCTTTCTTTGTTCTATCTTTAAATTAGCATATCTCCTTTTGCAAGTGATCAAAGTAGTTCTCACCAACTGGACGATTCATCATTGCTTTTGACCTAATAAAAGTGTTTGTTTTAATGCTCAAAGTGGGGAAGATGGGTGCATGAATATCTGTGGGCAGACTGTAGACATATTATGGACAAACTGTAGAAATACGTCTTAAAAAGTTGATAACAGCACCACTAGTTGCATGGGTCCAATTTGCCCCTATGATAACCTGTTTTCCTCAAACATGAGATGTTGTCAGACTTGGCATGTGCAATAGTTTTTTGTTAGAGAGAAGTATTTAATTTATAAAAGTACAGTTTTTACCATAAAACTGATCAGTACATGTCTGTTGGTGGTTGCTTTTGTCCTTGCTGGCTGTAGGGTGACAGCGCAGCGAAGCCAGGAGGATGCAGAGGAGATTGAACGAGAGCGAAGAAGGAAAGCCAGGGAGAAGCAGAGAGAAGAAGGGATCCTCTGTTTCCCAGAGCCCCAGCAACATGGAAATATTACTCACAACGAAGAGTGAGTATAACAGAACTGTACTTGTTTGAGTCCTCCAACTGTCATAGATTCATAAGCAAAAGATTGTGACAAAAAATTCAAAGACATTTCTATCATTTCAGAAACATTTTACAAAGAAAACGTTACAAATCTAAGCCTCTGTGTCTTAACATATGCTACTAAAAGCCATATTTTAAGATAGAAAACATTACTTTCTTCTTATTATTATTATTATTCAAATAACCCAATTGAACGCTTGTTCATTTCCCTTTTTTTAAGGGGTCAGGGGAGCTTTTTTACCTTTTTAATTTCCTCACTAGATAGAAATAAGGATATTTGTTGAGATTCATCGCCTTTTAGTCTACAAGCTTTTTATCCTGACACCTTTATGGTTATTAGACATTTGGGGGTCCTTTACTTTGTATGTTTGTTTTATGATCGGGTCGTTTAATTTCTTTGCCATCTTCTGCCTTTGTACAATTTTACTCATCTGCTGCAGGACTTTTCATAGTGACCATGCATCAATCTGCATCTAGCTGTCTCGATCTTAAGAAAATGTTAAATTCATACTTACAGTTGTACCGGTATATGTGACATCTCCCAGCAGGTGGCAGGCTTGAATTATTCTGGTGTGATTAGAGCACATTGATATTTGACAAAAGCTAGCTGGCTCAAATGGACTCGGTACCTAAACACATGATCGTAAGGCCTTATAAAGCTTCCTTCATAATTATTATTATTCTTTTTTTCATCTATGGTATGGGTTCTGAGATGAGGCTTTATGCTCAACAATGGTTTTAGTCTTTGAACTGATGCATGCTCCCATTTCTGCTCTTTCTCTTTCTTATGGCAAAGTCAGGAACACAGACCATAACTGAGAACTGTGGATCTTTTATGACCTCTTAGATGCAGGGATGGTTCTAGAGGGGTGTCCAGGGGGGGCATAGCCATCCTAGCCAATCATTGGCCACCCCTGTGGCTACCAGTACCAGGCTCAACCTTCCAGGTTGTTGTTCCCCCTGGGATGTAATAAGATAATCCTGGAACAAGCAGGTCTCGTATAAGCCTGATGGTGGCAGCAGTGATACCATCATAAAGAATTTCCTTTTTTGACATTTTAACGCTGGTATATTAACCAATAACTGAATAAAAAAATGTAGCAAAAAATTATTCAAAATGACAACAATTAAAGAGAACTAACACAGAATGTTTGCCCTTTTATGAATTAGTTTTTAGGTTTCATAGGGTAGAGTTTGTCTCCTACTGTAGAAGTCTTCTTTAAAGATGAAAAACATTACTCAAACCATTTAAATTATATATTATGTACAACCATAAATTAACCTAAATGGCACCAATGTGCAAATAAATTTATCAGCAGGGACCTAATTAAATTCTGGTCTCTCTTCAGTTATTTATTTAGAAAATGCCCTTAATCAGTATATATTAACTGTAAGAGGTTTTTGGTGCCTATCAGTTTTCTGCCCCCATTCAGTGCACCTTAGCCCTTACCTAACCACCCCTATATTCATGAACCATCACTACTCATATCAGTTTGCACTGCTCTCTTGTTGTAAATTTAGTAACCTGACCACTCCTGGGAAGCTTCACCACGTTCACTGTTGTCGTCATTAATTAATAATGACCTTTCAGTGGTTTGCTGGAGTCCCAAAGCTTTAGAAATGGCATTGTAACCCTTTCCATATTGATAGATCTAAATTACTTACATTTTTTACTTGTTCCTGAATTTCTTTGTATCACTACAATTATGTTTAGTTTTTTGAGGATCTTTTAGTGTACTTCCCTTTGTAAGGCAGGTCTTATTTGGGGTTTGCTGATTGTGAAAATGAACTCAGATGTGATAAATTAAAAGTAACGTTTTTACACATTGCCATGTGAGGTTTTTTTCATCTTAATTATAATAACTATTCTTCCCTAATATAATCACTACTGTTACTAATATGCTTTAAGATGTTAGTAAAAAATCAAATGTTTCTACATTTATTTACTAATGTATGGGTCAGTTACAGACAAAGAAAATTAAAAAGATTCAGCCAACTTGAATTAAACCAAATACCAGTTTTCATTATCATTATCAGTAGAGGCACAACAAAATGAAGGGTGTTCACACTGGGCCACAATGCAACATAGAAATAGAAACTGTCGTTAAAGTGCCAAAAAAAAAGAATATCTGTCAATATATGTGAATCTAAGGGATTAACTGTTCTGAAAGGAGGTAAGCTACATTTCCAACTTGCCGTCTGATATTGAAACCTTAAACTGCCAACTGTTTGCTTCTCTTTTTCATGTTTCCATGGTTACTGTCTCTGTTGATCGCACAGGCCCTGTCTACCATCTGCATTTCCTCTTTCAGCTCCTTCACAACCTTTGTGCAACATTAGAAAGCCTTGGATCTGTGATTAAGACATTAAGCAATGGCAGGAGCAAGTAAACATTTAGACAGTTGAAATTACTCTCATTATTTGTTCAGCTTTAACATGAAATTCTTCAAAAACAGGAAAGAGAATAGTGGATATGGAATTAAAGAAAGAGCTGTTACCATTTTATTTCAAATGTCTTTAATAAACGCTATTCAATACAAATGAAAATAATAAAAATGGAGCAAATGAAAATAAAAAATGTCACTGATAAAAACACACTTCCTCCTCCAATCAGCTCTCTGGGTAGAGTTTAAAGCACAAATTTAAGCCTATTGTCTAAGTAGCTTTAGCCTACATCTTTGTGTTTTTATTTAGTTGAAACAGTAGCTTTTCAGTGCGTGTTTATTTTATCAGAGTCTTGAGTAATTGTAATCCAATGGCTGATGTAATTGAACCCAATCCGTGAGGTTTGTTGTCATTAATCCTGCAGGTGAAAAGGCAGTTTGGTTCCTCAAGGATGATTTTAGTTTTGTTAGAAAACATCATTGTTTAGTTTTTAGTAGCATCTTAGCTCCTTTTTGGGTGCACGCTGCTGTGCATTTGATTATCTTTCAATAATCTGGCTTCATACTACATACCAAAAACATGGCTGTAGGGTTAACTGGACTCTCTGAATTGCCCTTAGGTATTATTCTGCTGACAGAATTTCTGTCAAGGCTATACTCTCTCTTAATAAGAGCTGGAGCTTTTACCTCTAAGAACAAGCAGGTAAGTGGATGGAATTGATGAGCATTAGGTGCATCATCACCACCTTGTGGTAGCAATCATTAATCACATTAAGCTGATGGAAAAAACAAGATGGTCATTAGTAAAACATACAACATCAATCTATGTTCTTAATTAATTATTAAATTAATTATTATTGATTAATTATTCATTAAAGTCACGGCCCATACCTGAAAATACCCTTACCTTGCAGGTGATAATTAACGATTTTGCAAAGAGAATCGGGGTAAAATCCTTTATAACCAGTTATCAGAAATGCTTAATGGCAATTTTGTTTCCAAGGATGGAGCTAAAATCACTGAGAAAAATTACATTTTTAAACTTTACCAGATTAATTAAGATCAAATACTTTTATTTATTTTTTTAGATTTTAGGTTAATCTGATATTAGATGAGATTTATCTAAAAATTGTGAGACAAATGCAAACTTACTTTCTGGTGGTATACTGTTCAAGAGAAAGAACCATAACATATTGAGAAACTTAGTGTGCAGCGGTAATTCTTATTTTCTAAGTTGACATGCCTACTTACATTATAAATCCCCAGGGAATCCTGTAGGTAATGGGCTTATTGAGTTTTCTGCAGTTAGTTGCTTTTACCTGAAGGGAAAACAGAACCTAACCGCCCAACACTTTTGCTCTATTTTTAGGTCTGATGAGGAGCTGAAACCCTCCTATTTCGTCCTGGAGGAGGACGAAGGTTTCAGCGACTGGAGCCAGAGGTTGGAAAACCGTAATGAGCAGTATGCGCTAGATAACTTCAGGACGAAGGAAGTGAAACCCACTGCAGCATCAGTTCCTGGGGACTATAAGCATGAACATAATGAAGAGGAGGGCAAAGGGGAGCATGGAGGAAGGGAAACTGAGGACGCTTCAACACAACGTTCAGAAACGGTTTACCTTTTCTTCATGTTGGCCTTATTAAATGATCCCCTTACAGTTGGATGAATGCAAATTTAACCTTTTTTTGAGATATAAATTTTAAAAAGCACCTCTAAGAATAAATGCAGCTGAGATAAGATCAGTTAGTGCAGAACTAATTAAAGCTGAGTTTGATCACAAAGAAATGCTGGTGAAGGTTCTCAGTCATCCAGGTCATCACAAAGAATCACAAAGAAATTTAGCTTAATATGTTCACCATTAGTTTCCAAGAAAAAGCCAACAAATCACTGAGTCTGTCAAAACTCAGCAGTCCTCTCAAAACTTGCTTTTGTACATTATTGAATTTTAGTTTATGAATTACCAAATTACAAAATTATCTTCATTGCCTCTTTGGTGTATTCCAGATATTCAGCTCTAAAACTCCAGCCAGGACATCATACAGCTCCTCTGTCTTCCTGTCACAGGATACAAGGCAACACCTTGCTGCAGGACACTCTGCAGACAGGACGTCATACCTGGCAGCAGGGACGATGAAGACACGGTCAGGACTAATCACAGTCTAACCTCTTGTTAAATGTCTGCAACTTTTCTTCTGGGGCTTCTCATTATAATTGTTAACATACTCTGTACATAAAAGCAGATAATAACCTGAAGTAACTGCTGCAGACTGTGTATTTCAACTGTGGTAGGTAGACTTAGAGACATGAAAATTAATGTTGTGTTTAAACATTTAATCAACTGACTAAAGTACGACAGCTCCATCTAAGTTTGGTGAAATAACATAAGGAACTCAAATCCTTTTCAAACCACTTAGTAAAAGTGCATATAATATTTATTTTGTTATTTTTAATTTAATTTCTATCTCAGGAACTTGGACCAAGGTGGTGGACCCAGCAGGCTGGAAGAGGAGCAGATGAGGAAGGATGAGGATAATGAAGAGAATGTAAAGCTGACACTGCAGATGGAGCGACAGAGCTCAAACGAAAAAGTGCAGGAGCAAAAAGAACTGATCTGCACAGTTGAAGAAAAGGAAGACATCAGAACAGAACAGGCGCACTGGGCAGCAGAGAAGGAGCAGGAGGAATATTATGCACTGAAAAACAAGGTTTGCAATACCTACGTCTGAACTAATCCTGATTATATTAGTTTCTCCAGATGCAAAGACCATTGGCATATCATGTATTGCATATGCATTTTCCTACAGTAGATTTATGTTACTCAAATATCTTAAGGCAGGAATGTATACTGTAGATACTCAATGTATAGATATTCAATGTCAATGTTCAACAACCAACACCAAAAAGGTGTTGGAATTATTGGGTTTTTCACCCATTCCGTACATTTTTCACATGTTTTTATTTTTTTAAATATGACCTTTACAGGTACTTTAGAGTAGCCTCTAAAATAGTTAACTATAAAAAAAGGATTCAGTTTATGCTAAAACAGAATTCCCATTACAGCTTTAACCTTAACAAAACTGTTATGAACCAACTTACAGTACTGATCTTGTCTCTCATGAAGCCACGCAGTCACAAAGCAGCAGTGAAGGAAGCAGCTAAAAGTTTCCCTTTCCTAAGTGTAATCATAAAACAATCATGTATTTCTCATAACTGTCACTTGCTCTGCAGTGATGTGCTTAAACTCATTCTGTCTACTAAAAGCTGTTTTTTTGGTTTGGTTTAACCCTAAAACTTATTTTAACCTAAAACTGAATATGAGATCAATGAAAAGAGAGAAGATAAGAAATTGCAATTAGATGGCATCTGCAGGTTTACTTTTACAAAAAGATATTTTTAAATCGCTTGGAAAACATGATTTGTGAATAATTTTAAATTACAACTATCAAGAGATCCCCATTCCTACAACGTATATAGTTAAAAAAAAATTTAAATATGTAAAAAAATAGGTTTCTGTTTGAACTTCACTTGTGTAGAAATATATACTTTAGAAGTCAAGTGAAACATTTAATGAGCTACCCTCTTTTCTCTCCTGTGTTTCATAAATGACTTAAACACATGTGGACCTGTTGTAACATGCCCAAGTCTGGCTTCAAACTTGAAAGTAATAAAATCGAAAGAATGCCGCTTTGGCTCACGGAAAGCCATGGATAATGAAATGTTACCTGACAAACTCAACAATGATGTAAGATCCTGGAGCAAATTCCAGTATTTTTTCTTAACCACCAGCTTGCTTCCTGTTATTCATTAGTCTTGTGCCCCTAAACCCAACAGTGCACATAAGCCAAATGAACACATCTGCAAAGCTGCTTGTTTTATGCCATACTCTGGCTTTCATGAGGTTTGAATTTGGTTTCAAATAATCATGGATGAGGCCTTCTCACAAAAAAAACAACGAAATACCAACAGTTAAGAATCAACTCTTTGTTTCAGAGATGTGAGGAGAGCCAAAGAAGATGGAGTGAGGAGATGTGCAGTGGGCTGGCAGGGTTCAATGATGGCGAGGAGCCATTAAACTGCTACGGCCCCATGAGTCCCACATTCAAGGTAACCAGTTAAACCAAAGGTTGATTATTGCAACATCACCTGAACAGAAACTGATCTGAGACCAATTGATTTGTTCAAAAGAGCTTAAACCTCTTTTCTTTATTTTTATACATTGTTGCCCTGTTTATTCTGCAGAAACTCCTCGTACAGTTCTACCCAGTAAGTACCAATTAAGTGTAAATAAAACACAAATCTGCAAATAAATGTTACTCTGACTAAAGTATATCTATCTATCTATCTATCTATCTATCTATCTATCTATCTATCTATCTATCTATCTATCTATCTATCTATCTATCTATCTATCTATCTATCTATCTATCTATCTATCTATCTATCTATCTATCTATCTATCCCTATATATATATCTATATATATATATATATATATAGAGAGAGATCTATATATATATGTACATGTGTCTGTAAAGCCATATAGAAATCAACTTTAAATCAAAGTTGGTAAAAGAAGTTTTGGTTTGTTTTTCCTTTCAAGGATTCGTCTGTATTTTGCATGTTTGCCTGTGTCCTTTAACTCTTAAAAATATAAGCAAAACAATAAAATCCATGCGAAACAATGTGTGTTCGAACACAGGTTTGATCCGCAACTGAAAATTTGTATCTCACAATCCAAAAAGACCCATGAAAGACTAGACACGAGACCTGGGACATACTTGTACATCAATCCCTCATCTATACTATAAATTAGAGAGATTTGTTTGAGAGGTTCAATGAACAAAATAGTGGAAGATTATATCACTGCAAGGTTATGCAATATGTCAAAGAGCAAATCAGACTGACATAAAAAAGAAATCCCTATAAAGATGGACTGGTAATGAACTAAAAAAAAGAAAGAATAAAAGTCTGAATTAAAGAAAAACTACAAAACCATCTGAGTTTCTGAAGAACAAAAAACTAAATCAATTGGGGACAATGCCAGACAGGGAGTTCTTTATGGGGAAGCTTTAGAGAACATGCAGCATTACTGTTGCATCTCAGCTCTTTGTGTCTCTTAACAGGATGAGGTGAACAGTCGAGTTTCACCAGATGGAAAATGTAAGGTGAGTGCTGCTTGGTTGATGTTATTCTGAACTGATAGAAAAAAACAACTCTTGAGTCTCTGAGCAACTACCGTAATTAAAACATTTACTAAATGTAGATTGTCAAGATCTCCACCTAAGTGGTATTTTTTTTTCTGCCAGCTGCAGTTTTAGGCTTCTAGAAATCTGAATAGCAGTACATTTTAGATAAACCCTAGAGTATTATCTCTTCTTTATTTCTCCTTAGATAACAGAAAGGACAGAGTCTCTCAGGAGAAGGTAAGTTAAACTTTGAAAATACTGAATAATAGACAAAAAAGTCAAGCATTGATTAATTTTAGTTGTCTTTTCAAGTGCTGTTAGAATTACCAGGGCAAGGGAAGGAACGTCTATATAGCACAATTTACAGTACTACAAAGACTATTCTAAGTACTATACTGTATATGAATTACCAATTCATTTCTTTAGAGAGCAAATGTTTCAAATGCTTCAACTGGTTTTGTGGTAGTTTACAGATGATTACCAATCATTACATGTGTTGTTTGTTGTTGTTTATTAATTAATTTTTTTAACATTCTTCCCTGTAAAGCACCAGCACCATAAAGAAGACATTGCCACCTATATCTGTTTCTAAAATCGATAAAAGACTGGAAGAATACACACATGCTCTCGAGGTAAATTAAAATTCTGGGGAACAACACATGCGTTTTTGATTCAAATGAACTAGTTTTAAATTAATATGAATTTAGAAACCATAACTACAAGCCTGAAATGTATTTTTATCCATATAGTCATAGGAAACTTAAGAACTTATTAACACCTTGTTGCACCAACTCTGAGGAAGGGCTTTTGTCTATATTTTCACATTGTTGTTGAAAGATATTTGGCCTCCATAATTGTGGTTTGGTTCATGTGTGTTTGCCTATATCTCCTTTGGTCTCATCCCTTGATTCTAATCAGGTTTAGATATAGACTTTGAACTGGCCTTCGCAACACCTCCATAAATTTGCCTCAAATTCCAGTTTGGGTTTCAGATGAGTTTGTGGTTAACCCATTGAATAGTATCTCCTATGGTTGTAAGACACCAAGATCATAATCTCATCACCACTATGCTCAGTTTCTAATTTGACCATATCTATGTGCTGTTCAACAAGTAAACCCTCCATTCTTTGTCTTCTGCATATCAGAGGCCAAACCAACAGCGGACCAATGTAAATTGTTCCAGGTGATAATGCTCCTCTAATTATATTGAGTGAGCCCCAAAAACATGGTCCATCTTGTGGCTTTATAAATAAGGGGAAACAACACAGTCAGACTTTTAACCTGTAAGATTGTCTTCTTTACTGACCGCTTTCTTCACCACAACAGACTGGAGTAGAGTCTGAATAACCTTTAAAAAATGTCCTAATCCTTTAATAAATCTCAGTCTATTCTTCCAAAACTACAACCTACCAAGTTTGAACAGAAAACAAAAAATGACTCAAAAACAAGATGACCCCTGACCTTAAGGTAACAGTATACCACGCAATGGCTGAAAACCTTGGCCTGGGAGTGCCAAGCATTGCCTCATCCTGGTGGTTTTAGATATAACTGAGTCAATCTGAAGCTCATGTTCTGAAAATTTTAACAGAACCCAAACTTCAGCAAAAAGCAAGAATGATATTGTAAAGCTCTACACCAAATGGTCTCCTTTTCCAGCTACCTCTTTAAATCCTGTCAATAAAACACCACAGAGAGATTCTGTGGAACCATCCTCGGGAAGGTTTAGAGGTACTATTTCCCGATTTAAAAGATTTGACCAGCTTCGCTACTCCACAGTTGGTACATCAATTTTCTGCATAACACTGGAGATTGAAAATTACTCACAAAGGCCCAATACCTTTTGCTTCTGAAAATGAAGATTGGCCACTTCTAACACCCTGCTAAAGGGAGCTTTATGTGTTTACAAAACACCTTCCACAATGGCCTTCTAAGTAAGTGGAATCAAAACAATAATATAAAAGAAAAGGTAATCAGGCTCCCATACACATCATTTCCAGTATTTTTGTAGAGCTTTACAAATATGAAGTTGTCAGAGTCTAGGTTCAATGTCTTTTCTGAAATCACTATAGATCTCCTGAGAACATTCCACATTGCATGGATATCTCTACATCTTCAATGTTTTCTTGCATTTTTGAAGGTCGCTTCAAAGGAAGGAAGATCAAGTTTCCAGGTTCTAGCAGACCTTACAAGCCCCCCTGAACCAGTAGCATCAAAGAAGAACCTGTTTGAAGCTGGGGAAGCCTGGAACCAAAACATCATCTCAGTCACATCGTGCAAGGTCAGGAGGAAAACAATGTGATGCTGAACATTTATTATATACAGTAAAGAAAGACATGGTGGACAAGTTTTCTAGAGATTTACTGTTTGCAGCTTAATCTTTTTACATGAAGTTGATTATGCAGAAAACTAACTCCTCATTTATATTCTAGGATGCAGATGGTTTAAAGGTTGGTGTGGCCGATCTTATCAACCAGTGGGTAAAAGGAGGCGAAGATGGTAGCAGGAGCAGCTCACCGTCAAAGACAGCAGTAAGCTAGAACTTCCATTTATTTGAACCATAAAGTCAGTTTTTTTTTTGCCATAATTTTTCTCGCATTTAATAAAAAACAGAAGTTAATATTTAAAGACCAGAAAGAAAAGGGAAGGAGTTTCCCTCTGTATTCTCAATAAGAAAGTTGGGGCCTGATGATGGATTGATATTGGAAAGAAAACCCTTTTCAATGGAAAAAATACTTTTTCATTAGTTGCTGCATTCGTTTTCAAGAAAGGGAACTACTGTAAGAAGCATCCCCCTTTTTATTCTACAATTTAACAGAAGGTAGGATATAAACCCTCAAGTAAGGAAATGTACTGTAGCTACACAAACATTTGAATGAAAAACTTTGAACTGAAATATTTAGAGTAAGAGTGTCATTTAAAAAAAAAAGGTCCTACAGCAAAAGATACACGAGTGGAAGTGGGCAAAAATCAATACTTAGAAAAGAAAATCTAGATTTTTGAGGTCATAATTAAGAAAGCTGTACATAACATCTAACATAAATTAAAAGGTTTTACTGCAAGTTTGCAAAGATACGAAAATACCAATGCTGTTTGAAAACATCCTTTTCCCAATAAACTATGAATGGTTTTTCTGAGCTATGGAGAAATGAGGAAGCTCTAATGTCATGTAATGTTATGAAATTTTTTCAGATTATTAAATGCAGTGTATTTTTCGAAATGTCATCTGTTATGGCAATCTGGTCTTGATCAAACTACACATTATGATCTGTTCTTGTAGGGGTTTTCTTTAATGTCGGGGGATAAGAGCTCTTTCTCTCTTAGCCTGCTGCTTTCATGTTTAAAAATGATGACAGCTGGATGATATAACGTCGAGGTGAAGCCATTTCCTGAAACGTTGCTCATCATAGTCTAAACATTAGAGAAATTTCAAATAATTAAATTCCCTTTCAAGTGGATAGGTGCGCATAATCATTGGAAAAAACAGCACAGTTTCCAACTTGCTACAAGCATAAGCATAACAAGTTTATGGGCATTTCCCTGCTTGAGCTCAAGTTTTCCAAGTTTATAGTTTCAATATGAGGAATTCATTTTAATGTGCCCTTTGTCAACCATAAACACACTGACAACACTCTGCTTCAGATGTTCAGCATCTGCAGTAACTTGAGGCACAGGAGGTTGTTTATCTTACTCAAAGTACCTAGACTGGAAGCATGTAGCCTCTTTTGCCAAAACAAATATAAATAAAAAATTGAAACAGCTCCATCTTTAAACCCTCATGTCATATTGATTTATCTGGAGGTTGCTCTAAGCCATCATTGCTTTGTTACTCACTGCCTCGTTCCTCCACATCTGGCGTAAATCAGTCTCAGAACAGAACTGTTGGAGGAAGCTTATCTTCCAATGGCAGAAAGTTCACATTCAGTTGAGCAGTTTAGTTAACTTTCAGTTCATTTAGGCAAGGAGGACCAAACCTCAGCCTTTTATTCTCCTTTATATTTAGGAAATAAGACCTGGTGGGGTTTTAAGCAAGAAGAATTTATGGGAAGGCCTCAGTGACACTTTAACTTCAACAAAAGATGGAAAGGTACAATCAAATCTCCAATACTTAATTTCTATATAAACAAGATTAATTTACTTTTGTGTTACCAAATCTACTTCCACAGTGTTACGAAAAAAGGTTTAGTTTGATATATCTGTTCATTATATTATTCATATTCCATTTTCTACTGGCTGATATGAATGACTAATATGAATGATGATTTATAATTTTTTTTTTCCCTAAAGTTTAACTCTGCCTCTACGATAATTCAAATCCAAGACATTTAATCTGGAAATGTTATGATAAGTACAGAACATACTTCATTTGAGGAATCTGTGTAAGCCAAAAATTTTGGCTGTTAACTATACAATTCAGTCATATACAAAGACAGTTTAGCTATTTTTTCAGCTGAACAAAACATACAAAGCACATGTTTTTAACTCCTGGTAAGGCACTGTTTTACATTTCCTCAGTAAAGCATTGTTAAGAGTATAGTGTTATATTTGCAAACATTTGCAGCTTACACAACTTAAATTTATTTGATTTAGATTTATTTGCACATACAAAATATATTAACATAACAATTTACAGCAGCACAAAAAGTCAAGTCAGTTCATCAATATATTAAATATACAAATATAGTACTATTTGTAATTAACATAACAAACCCTTGGTTCCAAAATGCACTTAAGTAATCTGGTTTGTATTCTTAATGTTTTTTATTTAAATCTTTAGAGGAAATATTTAACATATAGTATAGATGTGTATGAAAATTTAGCTTGTCACTTTTTTTTCCTCTTAATTTAGGAAAACTCCACCAAAAGATATAAATATGTGGTGACGGGTCACGGCAAATATGCAAAAGTTCCAGGTCACGGCTGCAATGAAGATCTAAACTGCCAGGCAGGTAAGACAGGTTCTTAAATACCAACCATGTTTGATAGGAAATCATATATTGACTTTAAATATTTACTGGTCAAAAGTTTATCTGTATTTTATACTTTTATGATTCTTCAAAATCTGTTCATACTGATTTGGATTATTTTAGCAAGTGTAGCTAAAAAGAAATGGCAAATGGCATGTACCTATATAGCGCCTTTTTTCAAGTCAGGTAACTTGACCAAGGCGCTTTACACTACATTCATTCACCCATTCACACACACACTGATGGTGGCAAGCTACATTGTAGCCACAGCTTCTCACTGACAGAAGCGGGGCTGCCATACACTGGCGCCACCGGGCCCTCTGACCACCATCAGTAGACAATGCAGGTGAAGTGTCTTGCCCAAGGACACAACGACAATGAGTCAGAGCTGGGGCTTGAACCATCAACCCTTCGATTTCAGGGCAAACTCCTACATCCAACGCCACTGTCGCCCCACTGTCGCCCTCACTGTAGCTAACTCAACAGCAACAAAATAGTTGGTCTGTGTGTAAATCTAAAAATAAACTCAGCGACATTATCCTGGGATGAAGCAAATAGAAATATAATGTTCACAGAAGTAAAGGAAAATCAGTCAATTTACTGTACTTCTTTTTTTATTTTAGATATGATAACATTTTAAAAAAGACAAACGGACACATAGGTTTGCACTTTGTAATTTCAAAAATAGACAGTGAACAAGGTTACATTAACAATGATTTAATAAACAGGGTTTTGCTAATTTTATAGACTTTTCTTATCATCATCAAGGAAACTGAAAATTGATCTTCTTCTTAAATGAAAAACCCAATTTTTAGGAAAAAAAGGACATACGGTAAAAAATAACTTGCTTCAACATTCTATAACAGGGTATCATTCCCTGATCCTTTACACTTCTATTTACACCTCTTCCTCAACCCCTTATTAAATCTTCTTTAGCTTTCTTAGAGCAGCGCTCGTCTCTTTCGTCTTTCTTCTTCTTTACATGTCTTTATTTATTTTGTTTACCATTTAAATGATATTGATAATATTTGTCTTGGGGTAAAAGCATATTACTAAACTAAATTTCTAGCCAAATACAACCTGTGCTTACAAGTGATGATAAAGGAAACCAGTGCTAACATAAAAAAAAGCATATTAGCCTTCAATTAACTTTGTAGCCATAATCTAATGATGTGTTAGCAGACTGTAGGTCAATATATACCAAATAAGTACTAAATAAATTACACTGAATAGAAATAAAATAAAAATATAGTACTCCTCTTCACTCAGCTTCAAGATGGAGCTATGGTCTTCCAACAGCTTTTGGAAGTCTGTTAAACATATTTGATTTTATTCTCAAAATGTAATCTCTAGACTTAAAAGACTATTCCTTTACATTTAGGACTTTTTGATCAAGTTGTTAGACACTTAGGGTAGCTTTTTTTTCATATTTCATGCCCTCATTTTGAGAAGCACCACCATTTCATTTGCTTGAACATTTAGAACCCTGTGATAATTGTTACTAGTAAATTACATTTCTTCCATGTTCTCATCTTTCTCAAACCCTTTTGTCCTGTTAATTCAGGAAGGTAAATGCCTTTTTTTTTATCATAGACAACAATATCTGTCTGTCTACAAAAACCATAAAGCTTATTTATTTTGGACAAAAGGAAAAGTGGAACAGTACATTTTGTGTTCAGCACATGTGTTCCAAATCATATCAAAGGCTTCATTAACAGACAACAGAACTTAGCAATGAACTGCAGGGTAACTTTCCTTATATTCTTTTTTTTTTTTTCGTTTTTAACAAATTTTATGATTATTTTGTATTAACACTTTAAAATGTTTTGTAGTTCAGATAACCAATAACTTCTTTTTTAATTAAGTTCTGCAAAATTTAACTTTCAGGTTTCTGTTTAAAACTATTTCACAAGTAGTTTAACATACAGAGTCACCTTTTCTATATGACTTTCTAGACTTTCTCAGAATTAATGAAAGCAACAGAAATTAAACGTATTTTGAAAAGTGATTATCAAACAGTTTTAAATATTATCATTATTTTTAATATTCATTTTTCCTTTTTATAGTTTTTTTTATCTTACTGTACTTACTAAGTACAACAGTTTTGATTTAGTGAAATTATCTTTCAATATTGTGCTTCAAAAGTCCAATTATATAAGCTCACCTTTTCCAGATAGTCCTTCCTATATGACTTTATCTAAAATTATTCAGGATTTTAGTTTGTGGTTAACCACCAATCACATCATCCATGAGCCGCATCAGTCACATCTTCATTTTTAGTGGGACCAAATCCTTTGGCTGTTCGATTGAAATCCTTGCGTTCCTCTTCCTGAGATTTTCGCTTTATCAGCCCTATTTCAAAAGCTGCTGCTATTTTAGTTAGTGGCTTTTCTGCAGCTTCCTTCAACTTCCTGGCATTAAAGCGAGGGCTGTACAGTAATACTGGAAGCCGGTTGACAAATGATGGAGGCTCTGCCTGATGATCTTTGAGAGATGTTTTCTTGTCTGTGTCTTTTTTGTTGGAATTGATCTGGTGCATGATTTTTTCTTTGGTAGAGAACATTTGAAAGAGGAGTGCATCCCACATCTTTAGTGCCTTGGGCCCTTCTTTGTTCTGAACAACATCTTGGTTCATATCCTGATCAGCAGAAGGCATATTGATCTTATCAGTTATTTCTTCATTCATACTAGAAGTGACCTGATGTATGACCTCTGGATCAGGAAATTTGGGTTCCTCAGGCTCGATGACCATGTGCTTTTTCAGCCGTGTCCATCCACTAAGCTTGCCCTTAAGACCTTTTGATTTCTGGGCTGTTTTTTGTTCAGTGGTTGAGATTGATGTTCCTTCAGGTTCCAACTGTTTTTTAGTAACTGAAGATGCAGTTGATATCATTGACTTCATGGAGGATTCGACTGCTGGAGTTTCCTTTGGTGTGCTTATTGCTTTCAGAATATCCTTGCCTTTGAATCCATTTTTTCGCTGAGATGACGGTGATGTTCCTCTGTTTGGAGATGGAGCTTTTACTGAGACTGAGGCCTGAGGCAGAGAGGCAGGAGTGGCAGAATCAATCAAAGCATCTTTTACTGTGGAGGATTTCATGACAGTGTCTGTTATTGACTTTTCAAGGGAACCATTGTTTAAAGTTTCCCCATTGGTCAAAAATGAGCTAGCCTGGATTGGATTAGATGGAGAATCTGAAGACTCTGGTTTTATTTTTGGAGATTTGATTTCTGCAACAACAGATGTAATTGTTGATTCTACTTGCTGAACAGAAGATTTCGCTTTTACAGTAGGTGCACTATTCAAAACTAAGTCAGTATATTGGCTGGCCATGCTACTTTTGGTAACTGGTGAGGATAGATTTTCCTCTTTATATATGTTGGACAATTTGTTTGTTTTTGAGATTTCCACTGGGGAATGTAATTTTATCTCAGAAACTGAAGAGCCATCAGCTGAAGATATTTTATTTTCTAGTTTTAAGATATTTTCTTCAAATAACTTCTCATCCTGCTGAGCTGCATTGTTTGGCGTATTATTTTGGAAAGGTGTATCTAGTGAGTTCCTAGGTTGTGTTGTATTAACAAGTAGTGGGTTTGTTTCCATAGAATTGGCCAAAGATCCAGGGCTCTGATTGGACTGGGTTAAAGCAGGACTATCTATTTGTTTTGGTGTAAAACACATTCTTGGTTTAAATAATGGGGAGGCTTTCATTGCTGGCCATGGTTTATTTGTAATTGGTGGACTAATTGGATCTTTGAAATCGCTTGGAGTTTCTTCTAGAGGCTGGATAATTTTAGTAGAGTGATCGTTTATGGCAGCATGTGGGACTGACTGAATATTCTCATTAAAGGCATTGGTTTGTGATGTTGTTAGAGGTTCATTGGCAATGCAACTCTGGTGAGATGTGTTTCCAATCAAAGCTATTTGATTGGTATTTATTGGTTGTCTGTTTCCATCTTCAAAACTAGCACCAAATGTTTTTATATCACTCTGACCAGATGCAACTAATGTTTGAGCTTTCATTTTTGAAGTTATATGATTTCTCTTTTTTGTTGATGGACTGTCTAGATCATTACTATCCACGATTTTCCCAAAACCAGAGAAGTCATCTTTTGCTGTAGCATTATAAATTTGTTGCATAGACAAGTCTACTGATCTATTCCCATGTTGAAGATCTGGAGTGAGTTTACTACCAAAAGTCCAAATATCGGATACTTCATTCAACGGAAGCTTTTCTGCAGATTGACTTTCTGGTCTATCCGATTTTATCTTTGGGCTTTTTGGTGGAGCTTGCCTCATTGTTGGGCTAGAAGACATCATAGTGGGTGTTAGAATATAAGGTTTAAGTGTCACTGCTGAGCCTGTTAATTTTTCTTGGGCTGTAAAGTGCTGAGCCTGTTTGGATGAAGTTGTGTGTGCTAAAAGTTTTGGTTTGTCTGCAGATAGCTTATCAGATAATTTAGTTTCACTTATTGTTATATTGGGATTTTCTCTTTGTTTTGGCTCAGAGCTTTTTGTTGCAGTATTTGCTGTGAAACAAAGTGGATCTACTTGAGTGTTTAGACAATTTCTTATTGGTTGTGTAGGGGCTTCTATCGTTTTGTATGACGTTACACATATATTTTCTTCTTGCACGGTTTGACTTTGAAATTTCCATCCCACGTTTTGTTGTTTTGTTGCTAATACATTTACAGGCATCTTTTTTTGACTTTCTACTTCTTTTATTAGCTCATGTGATTTATTTGTCTTTAATGGAAGATTAATCGTTGTTGCAGTTTCAAGTTGGGCATGGGTTTTTGTTTCTGTGGTAGGTTTACCTGGTGAAACATTTCCAGCAGGTATATTTAATACATTTGTTGGCAGCAAAGCAAAGTTGTTCAGAGCTTGATTTTTTGTGAAAACTTGCATATCTTTGCTGTTTGGATGATTGATTTTTGTGCTTATCTTTGGTGAGCTAACTTTACAGATGTTGTATTGCCCAGAGCAGAGTGACGCTGTGACAGGCTCATGTGGGAACATCAACCCACTGGTAGGGATACATTGCTCTTCTGTCATTTTTTCTGGGAAATGTAGGTTTCTGCTTGTAACATCACAAGTTTGTTGTGTATTCAGAGGTACAGAAGACACAATATGGACCATATTTGTTTTATTTGGTAGATTAATACTTTTGCTTTCCTTAATTTGGCATTCAGTCCTATCAGCATGTCTGTCTGGAATACCTTTGTTCTTTTTACTTGGCAGGGGAATTTCTGACTCCTGTTTAGTAGACTCTTTTTCCAGAATGCCTGTGCTATTCAAAATTTGTTTTTCTGGGAATGTACCCTTTACATGGGCTATAGTTACTGGAAAAATGTTTGCTTCACAGTCTGCTGATTTTGTAATAGAGTTGGCAGAATGTTGAATATAGCCACCATGAAGTAATGATTGACTGACCTTAACCTTATCTTTGTCCAGTAATCCAGAGTTTTCACCTATTTTTTTAATGTTGGACAGTGCATTGCCCTTTTTATCAGATACAACATTAGTTTGATCCAGATTTGATTTTAGGGTAATATTTACACCTTTTGGTTTAGGTTGGGATTCTGTATTTAAATCTCTTACGAAAGGTGAGGAGTAAATACTTGAGCCCATGCTATCAGTAGGATTTAAAGCTGGTTTTTGCCCTGCCTCTACTGAAAACTGCACTAGACCTTTTGTGTGTACCTCACCTGCTTTAGGTACTGGTATTGGAGCCTCTGAGTATGAGGCTTTTAATGCGGATGCATCACTTGTAGATTGTAGTATTGTTTTCTCTGTCAATCCAAAGAGAAGGTTGGGTTTTATTGTTTCGACTGCAGATGTTTTTGATGACTCTATTCCGACATTCTGAGTTCCATTCAGACCTTCTCCTGTGATATCATCATTACAGTCTGTGGAAACCCATTCATCTGGAATCTCTGATTGAAATGATTGTTCTCTATGACCCAGAGAATTTAGTTCCTCGAGTCCATTGAAATGTATTTCTTGTTTTGAGACATCTGAGTCTTCTAAAGGTTTACCCAAATGTGTTATGTTGGAGCTTTCATCAATGAGGGGAAGTACATCACTAGGATGTGACACATTTGTCCTTATTCCACCATATGCAACATACTCAACTGGAGTTAGTCCGTAATATGTCGAACGTGATTTGGGTTTTGAGCCTGCTAATGACATTTGTGTCTCCAAAAGTGATGTCAAAGACTTGCGTGCCTCCACTACAGGAGGCCGATATGTAGATAAAACCAAGCCTGGACTTTGTGATCCTTGCATCGGGGCAGGGCTAGAATTTTTTGGCATAGAAAAAAATGATGGCACCTGGGGCAGCGATAAAGCTTTGTTTTCTAAAACCTGGTGTGTTTTGAGGTTGACAAAGGGTGCTATTGTAGCGGTACTTATATTCTCTCTGTGGTATGGCTCACAACTGACAAAACCTAGATTCATTGTACTTTTCTGTGTATTGTGAATCTCTATCTCCCTATGTATGTTTTGTTTGATGAGGGTTGTGGTATTGTCATTAGTTTGCTTGTGTTCTTCTGTCAGAGTTGGAGGTTTACCTAAATGCTGGTAAGAAACTGTTGAATTGTCTTTAAGCCCTTCTTTCTGAATAACCGCTGCTTGCAAATCTTGGAAGGAACTGAAAGCAGGGTTCACAGTGGATATGAGTGGGTTGGGCTTTAATAGTTCAAAAATAGGAGTTGATATTGGAGCTGGTGTGTAAGCTGAAGGAGGAGGTCTCACACTCTGGATCCAAGGTGACGACAGTTCCTGATCCGCATTTACTGATGGCACAGGGGCTTTTTGACTAAACCCTGTAGATGTTGGGGCTCCTTGATTGGTTGGTTTCATAACTGTAAGTTCCTGGATGGAGGAAGGTTTGGAGATCTCATAAACTGTTGCCTTAGATGTATACGTCTTAGCTTGCATGGCTTCAATCATTGGCTCTTTCACTGTATCCACAAGGGATATTTTTGAGGCAGTTACTTCAGAAGATATCTGTCGAAGAGCACCGTTGGCAGCGATGCTGCGTGCATTAGTTCTGGTCGATTCCTGTCTCTGAAAGTCATCCTTTACATTAGTGTGTGTCTCCCTCTGGCTTGGGATAAATGGTTGTGTATGAGTGTTTGAAAGTGATAGGGGCACTGGAACAGGAGATAGAGCTGCAATATGAGAATGTGCTAGGTCTGGGGCGCAGTTTGTGGCATTGGAAAGGGTCAGGCTGTGGGTTGATATTTTTGGGCTGCACTGTGACATAGCAACTGGAGAGACTGTTGTGACTGACCCATGGGAATTTGATGTCACTCTGAAAGCAGGAGGAAGACTTGGTGCAGAAATTTGCTCATTTAGTGCTGAATTTGTCAAAGGTGGAACTATGAATGTGGAGGCATCATCAAACAGGAAGGAAGAGCATTCATACAAAGGTGCAACTTGAGGTTGAGAGTTTTTCATTCCAAGTGGGTTTGACGGAGGGTTTAAGCTCCTAGTTTGTCCTTTGGGACTGCTTTGAGGATGAGAAAATCCAGGGACCGAGTGATCGTAGACAGAGCCAAGGGGTAAACCTGAGACACAGGAGTCAGCAATATAGATGGAATCCGGTGTCCTTGGTGGGCTGCACATGTCACTGTGTTCTAGGTCTGTGCTTGCTTCATTGACAGGCGACAAACAGGAACGGAAGGGAATAGGCGTCTGAGAAAGGCTGCCCTTTTTCTTGGCTCTCTTCTTTTTAAGCTTCTGAAGCCTCGCATTATCTTTGCCAGGTTTTGGCAATAAAGGGGGTGGATACTGCTCCAAAATGTCAGGCTGCAACCCGTGAATGTAACAAACCTCCATTAGCATTGCAAGCTCCTGCCAGAAAAATGAAAAAACAAGAGATTATTTGATCACTGGAAAGGTGATAAACAATGAAGAAGCAACTGTCAAAGTTACTTTAAATGGTTATTCTACCCAGAAATACAACATAATTGCTTTGACTGTTGTTGAAACAAACTAACCAGTAACTATATTTTTACCATCTTTCTTTCTTCTTTTACAGCTGGACAGTTCAATGAAGAGTTGTGAAGCAGGTGTTGTTGAAAACTGAACTACAAGCCACAATCTCTTGACCATTCTGTCTTTGTTGAGCTATAGCTTGGATAATTAGCTAAATCACTATTATTATGCTTTGTTTCTGACTGATCCACTATCCAGTATCTGTACTTATTGTATCTTTAAATTCAATCAAATAAACCAAATGAAAAAAAAAAAGATTCTTGATTCTAGTGTTTCTTTATAAGTTATCTTCTTGACATTTTTATTTTGCTTCCTGAATATACTGCTATAACAGTTAAAATGGCTTTAAGACAAGTTGGCCATTGAAATGTATGAGCTCTTTTAACACCAGATTAATTTACAGAGCTCAAAGATCTTAAGTGGGTCCTAAGGGTACTTCTCGGCTATAAGAGGCACTTGAATTGGAAATAGGATGACATTTAAATGTGTCTTATACTAACTCAGTTTTAAAATGATGACAATGTATTAAGATAGTTAAGCAAAACAGCAAACTGGTTTAAAACTGATCTGCAGTAAATAGAAGTAGACCCTAACAGAGTGATTGGTTTTGTGCAGGAAGGATGGTGTGTGAGAGTGATTAAAGCCTGAAATTAGACAAATCGTGATAACTGACATTTCACTGTCATTATATTGACAGAGAAGTTGTAATTTGTTGATTCTCAATCTTTAAACCATATAACTGTGAGATACTTTAGTGGACCTGCTCTTTTATCTCAAGAGGCGCAAAGGCTGAATAACTCCCATCCAAGATCAAAGGCCTCTTCACACCAACACGGGCTCTCTACAAAGTTAAGCTTTTCTAATGTAACTGCACCATTGGCCTGCAAACAAAATGTTTAAGGAAAGACAACATTTTTATTTTAATCATTTAATATGTTTTTTAAAGCTCATAAGCAATTATATTGTAGTTTGTGCTGTATTCTAGTCCTATAAAAACACAATCGTTATATTGTGCTATGGCAAAGGAAAGAGGGGGTAGAATGACATCAACAGGTGCATGAATACATTTTCTATGAAAAGGATGAGTCACAAGCAAGCGGAAACCAGGGTAACAGCAACAGATCACTGGACAATGAAGGGACAGAAAACAAAGCTTAAATACAACAGAGATGAAAGGAAACTACATGGACAGAAGTGAATATACAGTAAGTAACACAAACACAGGACAGATATGATATGTTCAGGTTACATCCCACATCCAGTCTGTAGCTGTTGCTATCTGTGAGCTTAGATATTAATCTCACAAGGGTGTGAACCTCAATGACCATACCAAGACAACCTCCTTCAAACTCTATTGTTACAGTTCCAAAGGAACTCTAGAGTGGTTCAGTTGTGGTGTTAATGTAATCTAAACTTGATTCAACATAGCTACCAGGAGTTTGCGTTACCTAGCTGCCGGTACTTAGCCAAAGTAAACTTAAACAAGGGTCAAGCACATTTTCTGTAAAACATAAAAGCCTATCTGAACTTTAAAATATCTTCTGTTAAACTATTTCGGATACATCTCAGATGTATTGACTAGAAAATAATAATAAAAAAATGTAAATAAGAGAACTGTATACCATTTTTTCAACTGATGAGAACAAAACATCAACTTTAAGTAGTTATAATTGGTACTCCTGAAAAGGACTACAACTGACCAAGAAATAAATTGCTTTTGCAAAGTTTTGTAATGACTGGTTTTGACTCGCTTTGACTTCTCTTTTTATAAAGAAATTAAAAACAGTAAAAGTTTGCTATGGATGTGTTCCAGGAAAGTAGCCTGTAAGTTCTGGAAATTAACCCCTAAGGTCCTGCAAGAAAAATCTGTAAAATTGCATCAACATCTGGCACAGTACAATGAATATTTATTTCAATGTTCATATTTTAACTTATCTCACGTTAGATAGGTTCACATCAAATCATACTACAACAATAGTTTATATGTAGCTCGGACCTCACGCCTTAGCTCTAGCCATTAGTATTTTGATGGATTCACTATAAACTACAACCAAATAAATAAGAGCAAGCTGTGCAGTGTTAGAACCATCGATATTCTCTATGAGGAAACTCTATTAAACTATCTTGATAGTTCTGGGTATTTAAACTGGCCTAAATAATCCAGAAAGTAATTTGTTATATCAAAAGAGTAACCTTATGACTTAGGCAAGTTACAAAAGGTGACCCTCAGATTCCTTGCATTGAAACCTCAAAATTCCAGAAAGGTAAAGGAAGGATCATATATTGCTTTTGTGTGTGTGTGTGTGTGTGTGTGTGTGTGTGTGTGTGTGTGTGTGTGTGTGTGTGTGTGTGTGTGTGTGTGTGTGTGTGTGTGTGTGTGTGTGTGTGTGTGTGTGTGTGTGTGTGTGTGTGTGTGTGTGTGTGTGTGTGTGTGTGTGTCTGTGTCCTTTTTAGCTAATATAGCTCTGGGAATTAATGTCCCACAGTTAGCTGATAGCCCAACAGCTTTGCTTTCACAAGCAGTCCAGTAAGACTATTGCCGTAAGTTTCTGCTTGATATTTGTATATTAAACTTTACAGAATATTATTTGGGGAGTAAAATCGTATACAAAGGACACCGAAAGGGAGGTGAGAAAGAAAGGGGGGAAAAGAACTAAGGGGAGAGAGGGAGGGAGATGGAGAAAGGAACAAGGGCATGCAAACAGAAAATCAGCAAAAATAGATAACACAGAAGATATACAGTACAGTAACCATCTAATCCTAGAAGTCTGTTTCCATACCCGTATGAGATAAGAGGAACAAAAAACATAGGACAGCAAAAAGAAGACAACACACAACCAAAGTAAACTTTAGGGGAAAAAAAAGCTTCAAGAGCAGCGGGTATTCTTTTCATCTGTGTCAGAGTCAGAGCCTGCGGTGATTACACAATGTTAAGGGTGGTATCTGTAGCTGCACCTTAGTATTTAGTATTAGTGTGTATCCTGGAAAAATGCATGAGAATACTGATGTAGAAATGATTCAAAAGTCCTCTTCAGGAGGAAAGTATGCTTAATAGCAGGTGTGGGCGGCCCCGGACCAAACCTGCAGGGGCCAGGACAGAAAAGTAGTCGATGCAAACCCCTTTATCCATATATGTGTTTTCCCATAGTTAAAACTTGAAACAAAATTATCTATTTGTGTGCATTTTCACAGAATGATAAGTAGATATAACACAATATAAAGACATCCTAGTTAAAGGATCTGTTTCTGGTTTTAGTACTGCAAGGAAAATGTAAACTAAACCAAAAAAACGTTTTATTTTTGTTTTTGTTTGTTTTAGACAAACAAAAATAAAAAAATAAAAACTTTCCGACTAAAAATGTACATTGTGTAAAAGAAAACCCTCGAAAAGGGGAAAAAAACAAGCATTTCAAATCAGTCAATGAATTGGACGCAGTCTTTTTTTTCATTTTCCCTGCAGGCAATTGTAAAACTAGTTTTTCAGTAATGGCTATGCTATTTCAGAAAGGGGGAAAAAAGTAAGTAAAAGAATTCTGAATAAGTAATGCAGGCAAGCCATTAGAGTGTTTGCGAGGGACTCCAGAAGAGAATCGCGTTCTAATTTTAGTGTGATGGAAATAAGAACAGCACCTGCTCCCTGCTGTCCTGTACTCAGTGGAACCGCTTCAGTTCTCCTGTAATCAATCTCAGCCTCAAATCCTCTCAGGGCTGCTCTGACTGCTCGCTGAGCCTCATGTATCCGTGTGAGAATGTCTGTTAAATTTTAACTTGGGTCATAATCTCCCTACTCTCTTTTAAGGAGCAGAATGTAACTTTAGGATAATATTTTTCTTGTCCTGCAAGGTGAAGCTTTAAAAACTGTGTTAATTTAATTTAAATTCTTTTAAAAAAATTCAAAACATAATCCTGTTTTTTTTTTTTTTTTTAAGTTAAAATGAATCTCTGCTGTCAAAGTGACTCCTGTCATCACAGAGACAAAAAGCTCCAGCTGCAACATGAGACGGGCCCTATTTAAGGCTCTGGGTTGGGACATCTGGGACGTTTTGAATCCAGGAGCTCAAAAGAGGAAAGTATAAGATTAGCTTTCTGTTAAATGTGGGCCATGACCTAAATCCATCTACTTTTAAACCAATTAATTTGATGAAATGAATAGTTATATATGGAACTAAAGTCTTACCTTTTTTGTACAGTTGTGTTAGTTGTGCTTTGTTTGATTTGCTGTAAAGGAAACAACAGTCTAATGTTAGAGAAGATCTACCAAGATTTCATTGATTAAATTTGAGACTAAAAAGTCAATATACATGACTTATGTACAGATTAAGGTAATATCATAGTCATGCCTACATTTACCTCTCAAAGCACAAGTGTGTGCGAGGCATGCAACATGTTAGGCGCCTTTTTGCAAGCCCACCCTTCTGAGGATGGCATCATACTGTTTGCTTTTCATCAAGCATTTGAAATTACAAATCATGCTCAAGCTAGTATCAAACTCTCCATCATGTTTGCAGGTCAGCACCTGGTCTATGTATGTCAGGTTCTTTCAGCAGAAGCACCAGCAGACTCCTAGTTTGATTGGATTACCTTCAGCTGACGGAGACAAAAAACTGTTCTTTGCTTGTTAATCCCGGCTCAAAGTGCCACAGGGCCGCCTCAGCCTGAAGTCAACTGGAACCTTGGGGAGCAGGCAGTGGTGCCTGCAGACACTCCAAAAATAAAGCTGTTGCCTTCAGTGTGTGTTGCTGGGGGTTTCCAGACCACCTGAGACGGTGAAGGTGCAGCCCCTACAGGCAAGCGAAGGCCACCTCCACCTGGAGGAAGGTGGTTAGAAGTGTAGTAGCACCGAAGTTTCAGCAGAATAAAGGGACTTCTAATTCTTCTCAACAAGCTGACCCTGAACTAAGAAAGGATGTTGAATTTTATTCTAAACATCTCAAAAAGAGAGAGTTATCTAGAAAATATTTTGACCAGGGATTCGGGGGAAAAAACGTATAGAAACAGTTACCCTGTAAACATACTGTATGCAGGTTGTTGCTCTGAATCTTTTAAAAGTAAGAACTTTAATATTTTATTATTTCCCTAAACTTCTGTTAAAAAAGTATTTTACTATGAAATTAAGACAGCTATTGACATGATAAAACCGAAGCATCTCATCAATTTTCAAATGTGGCTGAGTTAAATGGGGGTGTGAATGCAGCAAAAAGCCCAAGGTTGACTATTAAACCCTGCACAGCTGCTTTAATGGAGCATTGATGGGACACACTCTGCCTTTTCACAATGTACTCCGCTTTCTTAATTACTTTAATAGACACACAAAATACTTTCTTTTGCCAACCTTATTGTAAGTTATGGAATAATGTCACCTTAAATTTTTTCCTGAAGAAAAAAATTGAAATATCAAATGATAAAGTACTTCTTTACTATTTCCATGGGCAGAAAAATAAATCCTAACTATTACAGGAAGAATGTGAATATGTGTTTTTCTTAAAGCCTCTTTTTCCTCCTAGCTATTGATAAATGTACCAATACAGCCACTAGATGGCTCTATGATTTCACTTCATCTTAAAGGGTTGGCTGGGTTTTCTATAGATCTATAAATGTCACAAAGATTACGTTGTTCCACTAAAAGTATACTATATGAGGATATTAGATTAGAAGATGTAAAATCAAATGTTAATCACAGTAAGCATTAAAAAAAACTGACAAATTTCTATGAGCTTTTTTTTTAAACAAGGGAAATTATCTCATACCGGTAAATAGAAAATATATTTTTTAAACATTCTGAAAAAAACAGTTAATGTTTCAGTAACAAAGGTTGGAAGGTGTTGTTTAGTTAACATAACTTTTCCTTTAATCTAAATCTGGATTAGACAAAGCTGTACAGATCTGAGTTCAGATGCACATTTAGATTAAATGAACTCACTATATACATATATATATATATCAGGAGGTCTTGGAAGTGGGACACAAACCAGTTGACAGAAGAACATGCTCCAAAGAGTTTTAAACTAACAAGTCTTTCATTTTTTCAGGTGCACGACATCAACCAAACCACAAGAACGATGGCAGACATATTTCCTATATAGAGGTGGAACTAAATTGGAAGAAACCATGTTTTGAAAGGATGTGCAGCTGCAAAATAACAAGAAAAAAAAGAAAGTTTGTTTTATATGAACAGCTAATTAAGAAATACTTTAACCAATAAATACAAAAATCAAATATTTCAATTCAATCCAAACAAATACTCTTAATATAGAAAACACCATACAGGAGATCAACCTCTCCCCTTTAATTCTCCTATGGTGCAGTCCTCCGAACACCTGTTTGGAGAGTGAAACAGCAGAGGTGAGTATTATACAATGAGTTTTTGATGTTTTAACTTTACAATTCATGCGTTTCTCTTTTAGGAAGAGTTAAACAGAAATAAAATATTGTGAAGTGAAATCAATTTACCTTTTTGCAAAAATGAAAACAAGATGTGGCCTACCAAAGCAACCACATCACAAACAAATCCACTACACCCAAAACAACAAAAATAAACCAATCTACAAAACCAGAATCTGTGTTTAACTGTTATTTTAGCCAATGTACAGGTAACAATGGCTCAATGTTATGAGCGGACAGTGTTAAGGAATGGATAAGAAGGTTTTAACTTAGTCCATTTAAAAGATTTGAAAGTGCTAAAATTTAGCTTTTTCATGTATTTTCAATTTTAAAAAATAGATTAAGATAAAGGTGTTTAGATATATTTTCTGTAATGTTATAGGTCTAACAGCAAACTGGTTTGGGTTTCTAATCTCCAGGGATGCAATGCCAGAGGAGAAGAAATTTGTTGTATCTGTTGAGCAATTTCTGTCATTAGAGAGTTGAAAGCTAATGAGGACTTAAAGTAAAATACTTAATATTTTACCTGTTCTTGCCTCTCAAACAGTTGACAATGTTCTCGGACTTCGCCCTCAAGTATCTTTTTGTCTTGAAAAAGATACTTGTGAACCTCTCTGATTAATGAAGCCTAGGCGGAAGTTCAACTGAATAAATTATTACTTACGCATGCCCGCCTCCATCACAGCCAATCGGTTCTGAACCACGCCTCCACGAAAGCCAATCAGCATCCTGCGCTCATCTTAAAAGGTCGCCAAACCCACATCTCAGTCTGCTACCCAAGCCTTGGCAGTGGTTTCACCATGTCGGACCTTGACTCAGATGACCCAATTCACCCACCTCCAGCCCCTTCTTCACCATCGTAGCCAAGCTTCATCAGAGGGCCATTCTTCCCTGACTCTTGTTGCATTCCCTTACTCATCCCAACTGGTCTGGCAGAAGACCGCCATGTTGAGCCTGGTTCTGCCAGAGCTTGCCTCCCAACAGGGAGTTTTTCCTCTCCACTGTCGCTCCATGCTTGCTCATCATGGACAGGTTCATGCAACCTGTGTTATCCAAGCTGGATTCTCGTCTTCCAGGTCCCAGAGTGAAGCTCCAGTACCAGCTCATGCAGTTCACTGGATCTCTTCATTCAGCAGTCATGAACTCTCCAACTCATCCATCTCTACTCCAACACCAGCCTCAGGCCTGGGGGGAAACATCCCTACTTCTACTCCTGTTCATGCATATCAAAGCAAAATAATTCAACCCTAATGTTTTGCCAAAGCCTGAGCACCAAAGACTTAAGTAAATGTATCAATAAAACTCTTCTAATTGTATTCCTTTTTGTGAGTTTTTCAGATTGAAATGAACACTGACCGGAGAGAGAAAATCCTTTTTAGTACGTTTGATAGATTAACACATCCTGAAAAGATTTATCCTTGTTTCATCTTTTCTTCATTTGTAATGGCTTAAACTCAATAGGAAAAATCCTCGCAATATTGGACTATGAATGGACATTTTCTTGCTTGTTTGATATCAAATTTTTATCTGATCATGTCAGACATATAATTGTGAAAAAACAAGCCTTCAGTCCCGACGGTTATACTGTTTTTAGCAATATATGTAGACCCTTATTGAGTGTTTTTACCTTGGCCCTATTCTTATTCTAAATTCAGCATTCTGCCTCTCTGCACTCAGCCAATGACTGATGGACCTACTTGTTGATGAATTGGTCAACAGGCACACACACATGCACACAGACTTTTCTTCCATTGTCTGGATGCCAAGCCAATGTGTAAGCCCAGCTCTCACCCTTCTATCACTGTAAATTTAGCAACAGAGGCTTCTCAGCTGCTCCTTTCCAAAATTTGAGCCCTCCTCTTCCATCCACAGTATTCTAACCTCCTCCTTCTCCAGGGTCGGGGATGCACTTCCCCCAGCCTCTCCACCTTTTCCGCACATAAACATTCTCTCACCACACACACTCGCACACAAAAGCACACACTCCATTTTGATCCTAGCCAATAAGGGGCTGATGATCTCAAGTATCACTATAGCACCAGGACTTATTCTTTGAGCGAAGCATTCCGATTCTTACAGACCTTCACCTTCACTGCTGGAGGAGCTGCTCTACCTCTTCGGGGTAAGTTGCTTGCAGCCCAAAACTCACTTATCAATCCTAATAGCACTCTTCTGTTAATTTAGATTCTCATTTTCTGTAAAAAAAAAAAAAAAAAAAAAATCTTAAACTATTGGTTAAACAGTACGAAATATGACAATGCTTTTGGAAGACACGTAGAAATATATCTTTAAAAGAGATAATGAAAGTGGCATTATCAGAGATAAGACGTGTCTGTTTCTGGCTAAAGAAAAAGTCTCCATTCGCAAAACAAAGAGAAAAATAACATTTCTTGATCATAAAAATAAATAAGGATATGAAAAGTTTAATTTGTCATCAAAATTATCCATACTATTAAAAAAATCTTTAAAGGGGAACAGAGGTACGGTAGATATATATTGGAACGTGAGTGAATGTAAATCCTGCTGACAATGTTCTGGTCAAGGCTCCCTGGAAGGCAGTTGACAGGAGCGCTATATCTGAAGTCTTTTGTTCTGTTATTCTAAAACCTCAATATGTTATACCATTAAGAAACTAATCAATCTGTAATACATTTCTTGATTTACATTAATAAAAAAAAATGAATAACAAAAATTATCTAAAGAATAGCAAATCATTTACTATTTGGATATTGATCAATATTCATTTACTTTTTTTTAATAAGGTATCTACTTCACAGTTGTTGGCCAGTGCTTCAGAGTTTAAACTGAATCCCAGTCAGCTGTTTAACTGTTAATAAGATTGACACCTTGAAGGCATAGTGTTTTGTGATGTCCAAGATTTTTGCTTTCTCCATTATCTCCTTTCCTCCCTGAGGCAACATCTAGAAGGATTTTAGTGAGTGTCTAAATCTGCTCTCCCATTAGGCTTATAAGCTGATGTATCACCTGTTGCCTCAGTTTCAGCACCAAGTTTTGGTTTCAGAAAGACTCAGGACAGACTTAGCAGCCTTTGGGGTCCACATGCTTAAGAAATGAAGTGAGCGCTCACTAAATATACAGCATGTTGAAATGTCGGTATGTACAGAGCGAACGCTGTGCACACAGAGGCGAGAACGCTGTCAGCTGTGAGTCGATCAAAGAGCTTGTTTGTTGGGGGTGGCCTCTGATTGGCTGTTTGGATGCAGAAGATCCTCCTGCTGGACCAAGAAGAGGGATTAGGCAGCTATTTGAACACTGTTCCTCAGCTGATGGGTAGACATGTGATCCAGAGCTAATCCACAGAGTGCTCTGCAGCTGTGCCTACCATGAAACGGGAAGGAGTCATCCAAAGGCACTTTATTTATAACAAATATCACATAGTTTAATACAGAATATATGTATTCTATTATATCTCCCACTTAAATTGTACTATTTTCTGGTTTACTCTTCCTCATTTTCCCCATCACAGATCTTTAATAATATTACAGCAGCAGCCATTCAAAATGGCCCTTCCCATTCAAATGCCAGCAGAATGGCAGCCCACTTCCCTCTATCTCCCAGCAAAATCCCCTTCCAACTTCCAGCCACTGGAGTGACCCCCTCCATCTTCTGGGCGTGCCTATTTTTTTTACTCTGACTACACCATTTCACTGAATTACAGGGTCTGACCAGGAGATGATGCTGCTTTTTAGATTTTAATGTCCACAAATCATGACAAAAATAATATTTGAGTGCCAAGATTGATCTTTGAAAAGGAATTGTAAGGGGACCAGCCAAGGGCCCATCAAGGAAAGTGGGGATATTTTGAATGGCTACTATTGTAGGTCATCCCTGGCTTAAAAACATTGCACAATATTAACTGGTCTAATTCGTGGATCATATTCTGGAGTTCCCATTGTCTATCCAACCTCCTCATCCTAGCTGTCACTCCAGCTCTCTTCAAAGCTCCCTAGTCTTCTCACTCACTCATTCTCTGGTATTTAGCAAAAACCCAGTTCTCACTCTTCTACCTGACCACCCCTAGCCTCATCTTTCTCTGGGTAGCTTCTCTCATACTTGCAACACAAAGCCATTGAAACGCATAAAACTGAGTCACTGAAGCAGGCATTTTCTCATTACGATACCTCGTTATTTCCCTCAGGATGCAAATGCACCAGCCAGTCTACCAAGACTGATGTTCTCAGAGATTCTCTGATTATTTTGGTATTTGTCTTACATGATGAGCTCCTAAACGGTTCAAAGAACCTAGACTAACATAGCTTAATGTCAATCCACACCTTCTGGAAAAGCACCTTTTTGTAAAATCAGAAAAATGTTAGTTTCATAAAACATGCTCAATCTTTCTTGGTTAGATGTCAAAGGGCTGATAGATGAAGACAGATCTGGAGACAATTGAAGCAGCTCAAGTTTGCCCAACACTAGAAAACAGATAAAATGGTTCTTAGGGTTTTGCAGTGTTTTTATAAATGCTTTATCAGAGATCTCTGTCTAGTTGCTACACGTGTCATTATCTCAGCTCCACCAGATACACCTTATTTTAGTCTCCTACAAACAGAAAATGCATTTTCTGAACTACTTGATCTCTGCTGGATCCATCCTGCTCTGGATCTGCTGTCTGTAGCCAGTAACCCAATTCTAGTAGACACGTTCGACAGTTGTGGGAAGGGATTATTATTCCAAAGGGCTCTTTCTGATAATAAGCTCCATCTTTTTGTTTTCACATAATTTGTTTTTCATATGTAACTATGAAATACTTTAGGGAACAGCCCAGATACTTAGAAAGGTTGTTTTTTTAGGCCTGTTAGTTAATCTCTCGTGTTCGAAAGGACTGCTCTGCATTAGGTGGCAAATTCTGATTTTTCTTAGGTTTATTCAAACAGATCAGTTGAGTGCATGCACAGAGAATTCAATGAATGTACTCATCAAACCTGGCATAATGTGTAATGCATAATTTTCACCATTTATAGCCTCCACCCACCCTCCTGTGCTGACTATACTCTTCCATCTGTCTGTCCCATCTCACAGGTCATCCCTTACCCTCTGTTATTGAAGGGTTTGGGCATGTGTGTCTTTGTGGCCAGGGATTCACACAATCAGAAGGACTTTAGGAACAGACCCCCTGAAGGAAATCCTAGATTGTTCTTGTTCCATGTTACGTTATTGTTTCTCCTTTCCAGGAAACCATTATTAGTCCCTCCTCTATAAGGGAACAATTCAGAATTGGTGAGGTCACCTTGGAATTCCCTTCACAAACTTCCTTATCACCCATTCTGGCCGCTGCTCTATCCACTTCCTTGGATCCGAATGTCTGGACACTTCCACAATCAAACATTATCACTTACCTCCCTCTCCCCCGTTAAAAGCTACCCCATCATCACCATCTTTCCTTGGAGAGAAAGAAAACAATCATTTTCACCTGAACTGTGCACCAAACCGGCCATTCTCGCTCTGTAGGAATAACATAATTGCCATAGTCCTGGCAGGATTGTTTACTACTATATTGTTTGCTTATGAAGTCATTCTTCTGGCTTATAAAGTTTATCATAACTGTTACTGAAATCAATCTCATTTTAGCACAATTACCTCTACTAATAATATGAATATCTATCATCTATTTACTTGTATTGCAATGCATAATCTTTGTTTTTAATTTTATCTTTTAATTTATCTTACTTATCTTTTCTTATTTAGAGAAACTGTGGAACAAGAATGTTTAACATTGACAATGACATTAAGAATGTTAATGGAAACATGTGTTTCCATTTTTTTTAATTCAACTTGAGATATTTCCACTGCAACAAAGCATACATTTCTGGATGTATGATGCAATACTGCTCTGAAAAGGTTCCAGTATAATGTATATTACAGAGGAACTTTCTTATAACATAACAGTTATGATCTGCCAAAACATTGCATATTAGTCAAACTATTGTTTTAATAAAACCTGGCAGTAGAAATATTTATTTTTTCAGGTTGTTAAACTTCACAATAGGTCTACGGTTGCTCTAAATTGAAAGTAGAAAGGGATTAAGCCCTTTAAGTTATTGAGAAAGTCACCAAAATCAGTGCATATTTAATCTTAAATATCTTTATGCTGGTAGAGATATGACAGTAGACAGTATGGTAACTTTTCTTTGCCTTTCTCCTCAGATTTGAAATCTGCTGTCATCATGTCTGACACTGAAGAAGTGTAAGTAAATATCACTACAGTTAGTGATACAATATGCAATACATTTTAAGATGAATTGGATTAATATTTTGCATTTCTTATCTTTGCAGGTACGACGGTAAGTGTGACAACTACTTGGTTAACCTTACAGATTATCTTGCTGTGTAGCTACAGAGTAGACATGTTATGATGTTTTTGATAACCACCGAGTGTAGTTTAACTAATATTTGCTATTTTTAAACCTTTACATAGTTTAAAAATGTAGATAAAGGTGGGAAAGCTGCTGACATTATTTGCTCTTTTTTCAATAGATTTTTTGTTTATCTTTTTTTTTCTTACATTGGCCATAAGAGCCCTGATGATTAGCACATTCGTTGAGCTAGAATAAGCCTAAGTTCTAATGTGTGTTCATTTAATTTTGCTTTTTTTGTTCCCACATATGTTTTAATTTGAATGTTGCAAAAATGAAGAGGAGGAAGGTAAAGATGGACGAATCAACTTTACATCCATTACTATTTTTCTCATTCACACTAATAAGTCAACTATCTTTCACCCTTAACTTGAAGTATTTGACATTGACACATATTATTTTAACCAACGGTTACCTATTGCTTCTAAAGATTTATAAAGACAGCTAATGATAAATATGTGGTGTTTAAGGAATAAAATTGTAAAGCTGTCATCTTCTTATTTCAAGATTTCTTAGAGGATTTGAATGGACTGCTTCCTTACCCGCCACACTGTTACTCATTGCCAGGGTTGTGCTTCATTTAATAGATTTGGTCTACTGTTAATTAGCTATTTTGGCTGTCAACCAAACACTTACAAGTTAATGGTGACTTTTGTCTTCTGAGTGATGATTTGACTCACATGGTTAGGAAAGAAAAAAAAAAAACAGCTCCTTAAACCTTTTTTCTTAACATGTGAAAATTCCACATTGCCGTTTATTATTGTCAGTATTGCTGTCATTGGTCTGATTCATACAATGGTCATATTTGAATTGGTGAATGTGGGAAAACTAAGTTGCAGGAATACCTAAATTAAAGACTTAAAAGATATAAACTGCTCTCGACATTGTTCACAGGATAATAGCTTGACAAAAAAGCCTTTAGCAAAAGACATTGGGGATTAAAGACTTAGGAATTGTCTCTCTACATGAGGTTGTTAAAAAATTATCTGTATGTAACGGAAGCTGTTCTCCCTTCCCCTAAAGTGTCTTGAGGAACATAAAAAAAGTACATAATTGCTTATTGGAAGCTAAAGTCCTGTAAGTATGCCACAAGAGCAACTTAGGATGTTAACCAATGCTGCAAGAAGAAGGACCAGTAAGGAAAACTCATACTTCATAGAACTAAAGTGTAGAATTCCCAAGAAACTTTCATGGTTTTTACTATCTTAACACACTTCATATTTCTCAGACAATGCAGAGAAAAAGAGTTATTCTTAGAATTTTTGAGTTTAAACAAAAAGTATACTTTGTATGAATTGTATTGTCCATCCATCCATCTATTATCTGACATGCTTGTCCCATTTGGGGTTGCAAGGGGTGCTGGTGCCTATCTCCAGCTGTAAATGGGAGAGGCGGGGTACACCCTGGACAGGTTGCCAGTCCATCGCAGGGCAACACAGAGTGAAACGCACACACTCACACCTAAGGAGAATTTAGAGAAGCCAATGAAGCTAGCAGTCATGTTTTTGGACTGTGGGAGGAAGCCGGAGTACCCGAAGAGAACCCACGCATGCTCAGGGAGAACATGCAAACTCCATGCAGAAAGACCCCAGGCCAGGAATCAAACCCAGAACCTTCTTGCTGCAAGGCAGCAGTGCTACCCACGGCACCACTGAGCAGCCCTGAATTGTATTGTATTAAAAAAAAAACTATTAACATTTGTTATTTGAATCCAAATCCTTGTAATATCTTTCGATATTTATGATGCTTAAATGTTGAGAAGCACCTTAATAATAAATGGAAATTAATTGTGCAACACATAAAAACTCATTATGTTTTTTATGCTTACTCATTCTTTGCAGCCTCAGTTTTGAGGGTTTTTTTTAAATTGCATTTATTAATCTTCCTCTTTTTCAAACCAAGACCCCAGAAAAGTTAGAGAATAATTATATACTTTAGCCCCGATAATCTGTTCCTGCAGTAGTCGCACACATTAACAGTTCAATATGACTTTTCTGTATGAAAGACCACAGAGTTTCTGCCTCCATCATCTGTTTTTCTCTCCATTCTCCAGCAGTATCCTTCGCTCACCCATCCATCGTTTCTGTGAATTTCAGTTTCACCTTTGGTCTCTAATGGCTCTGTTATGTCTTTTGTCTTTAATAATTGCCTTCTCCGGCACCTCTATTGTGCAATTTGGTGCATGCTGCGTGCCTTTAGCCCAGGAGGAGGTAGAAGTAGAAGTAGCCCCTGAGGCGGAGGCCCAGGTAGAGGCAGAGCCAGAAGTAGAGCCTGAACCAGAACCAGAACCAGAGCCAGAGCCAGAGCCTCAGGAGGTGGTGCAGCAAGTGGTTCGTGAGGAGGAAGGTACGTGGCACGGGCAGTGCGTTTATTATATTGCTGCAGGACATCCGGCACTCTGCCTAACAGGGTAGTCCTGTTTGTCAACAGGTGCTTAAAATCATCGAATTTAAATCAATATTTATTTCAAAGTAAATTTATATAAAAAATGTTTAAGGCAGTAACTCTTGTTTTTTTATTTTCTATGTGGCAAGTTTTTTCTTTTTATTGCCCTAAAGTAAAATGCTGAGATCGTAGTATTTTGATGAAACTCCTGCAAAATTGTTGCAGTATGGAATGACTGCTCTTGGCAACGATGATTTTTGACAACTTCAAGTGGTCATTTTGAGAGAAGGACGCACTGTATTAATGAAGTATGCAAAACAGCACTTAGTTGATGTATATCTTTACAGTGAATCTCAAGATTTGGGAACTAGATCGTTTTGCAGTTCATTAATCTAACTAACTAGCTAAACACACAGTAGCTTTTAGTGTGTGTTTAGCTTCCTCTTTGTGACTGCCTCCCTTAATCAAAATAGGTTGGCAGCATCATTAAAGAATTAATAAAATTTTAGGCATTTGGACTGATGAAAAGGAAAAAAAATTACATAAACATTTTGGAAAAAGCAATATTTTCCACAACATATAAATAAAATTCCCTACATTGCTTAAATTGAGTTAAAACGTTGCTTAATCTGAATTAAAACATTGCTTAAATTGAGTTAAATATCACATTATTTTCCAAGACTAGGCCTTCTACTTTTTGTCAAATCTCCTAGAGCATGTTGGGGCAAGCATTTCATTATAAAACACCCTCAGCTGTCACATCATCTTCATCCCTGTTGAAGCACTGTCCACAGTCAAACAGTCAAAAATTGTTTTGTCCTGTTTCCAGCATTATTGTTCACTGTCATTTGTGTTTTAAATATAAGCTGTGCATATATGTTAAAAAGGGAGAACAAGAAAGGTGGTTGCCTTTACATGAATTAGTTGCCTTGCATCATCCTTGGCCTTCTATACATTTGAATGACTCATTTCGCTTTTAATGACCATCATCATTATTTGCATTTTGGAAAATTCATGTGACCCAGTTAAAGGCCACAGCAGAAAGGATGATAGGTATTTTCTTGTCATGTAAAGTCAATTCTTCACTTCCCTTAAGTCCATGTTTAGCTTTTATTTATTAGTTTATTTTCCATGTGCAAGTAAAAATTAAAATTTGCTATTTGCAAAAAAAAACCAAAAAAAACCATTTACATTGGGGTATAATGATGTTTAAGAACTGTTTCACTATTTAAGTTGATCAAATTCAAGTAAATTTCCCATTAAGATGTGTTTCGAGTTCCTTGTAACCAAAGGGATCATGGCAGAAGTCCCAGGCTTAATGTCTATGCTTGCTTGACTAATGCTTTATGTCGTTAGCAGCAACAATTTCAAACTCCTTTATCCAACCACTCAAACAATGTTGGAGGATAAATCTGCAATCTTTCTGAAGATCAAGTTTCATTTAATACCCATCATGGAGAACATTTTTTCATCAAGATGACAACTTTTGAAATATGTGATTTGGTTAAATTAACTGTTAGAAATTAGTTAATTTAGTTGAATTCACTGTTAAAAATAAGCGTATGAATCATAAATGATAATAATAGAAAATGAGTCATATTGAAATCGACAGTCAGAATTGATCCACCTATCCAAATCATAACTTTCAATTTTTTAATCACCAGTATGGTACAGATGTAAAATCCAGCATCTTGTTATGCTGCTTAATTGTACTAACATTTGGAAAAGGGTCCTTTGCTCAAAAACTTAAATACCACAATAGAATACCACTTGTGCAATAAGTCTAATTTTAAAATAAGGGATAGGGATATTTTTATAAGTGGAAGTGCAACTCATCCTGAGAGGGTAGGCCAAATAAAATCAAGAGAAGAGTCAGTAGGTGCTGTTTCTGATTTCTACAGAAGCAATACTTACTGACTTCCAAACTATAAGGGGGTTTAGATTACTCAACTACCTTATGTAGATGGCCTCATGTGATGGATTCCCATTACCAGGCGGCTGCATTTAATAATAATAATAATAATTTAACCTTATTGATTTCACATTGGAGAAATTTAACTAATCTCCTTAGGGAACAGTGGGCTGCCATTTCGGGGTGCCCGGGGAGCAGTGAGTGGTTAAGGGTGTTGTTCAGTGAAACAGAGTGGCAGTCTGTGAGCGTGAGGCTCGAAGTCAGAACCTCTTGATTCCAAGCGCAATGTACCAAACCATTAGGACGCCACTCCCCAATTTAAGTCTCGTATCACTATATGAAATGTAACAAGTCTGATGCAGTAGTGTAAAAAAAAATGTACCACCATTTACCACGTCACTCCATTCACTCCAATGGGCAAAAGTCATGTTTTAGCCTTTGACAGAAGAACGAGACTTTTTTATGGCATTGCATTGTGCAGAGTGGATTATGTTGCTGAGTCTTCAGGAGTTAGTTTCCTAAACCCCAGCGAAAATAATGTTTAGTTCTTAGGCGGACCAAAACCATTTGGAAGAGTTTGTGTAAGAACTTAATAAGAAAAAGATCTGTTTGCTGTTAGGAAATTGAGTTTCTCGAGAACTAATTTGTAATTTGCAAGATACTTAATTTTAAATTACTCGTTTCCATTTACTGAACTGCACCTTTCTATGCAATGCTGTGTTTTTAAGAGCTGGGACCATGTTGGATAAGAACCATACTGTAAGTGGTCCTCAGACCAAGGTAAATATATTCTCTTATTAGAAATTTAACAAAAAGTACATTTTGCTTAGGTTTTACAAGGAAGTATGACAAAATGCTAAAGATGTTTTGCATATAAAACCTTGTTCAGATTATTTAAAAACTGAAAACAAAGGGGTGACTGGTTTAGTTGGAAGAATAGTCATTGAGCAGTCAGAAAGTTGTGCATTTGTTTTACGTATCCTCCCCATAACCTGTGAAGATGCCCATAATCAAGGCATTTAACAAAATATCATTCCAATCAGGAAAAAAACAAGATGCAAATCAAGCTATCACACTGAAAGGCCTTTTTGTAGCAGTACCCTTTAACTGTTAAGCAGAAATAAGTATTGGGCCCCTCAAATAAAAAAGCTTGGTAGTAGAGATACACAGAGCTTCCTGCTGTGTAAAAACAGGACTGATGCATGCCCTGTCAAGGGACTTCTGCCATGACTCCTTGAAGCTCACCCCAATCAAGTAAATGTGCTTTAAAAGCTATGTGCTTTTTGGATGGTACATGTACAGGCTGCTCAGTTGGATCACTAATGATCTCTGTTCTGCTCTTGCTTTGGACGCTTGCTGCATGCAGAGGCCTATGAAGAGGAAGGTATGTGGATCTGCATTCTTCTCTGTTCTTCTGATTCGACCTTTTATGCTTCCCAGTTGAATAAGGGATGCCTTACACCTTATTTAATCAGTTGGCAACAGTCCACGGTTGAAGAGATCAAGGTGATATAAAGGAGAAAGCCGAAGGATTCATAAATGGCGAGTCGGAGTTATGGGCCCCACTGCTCATCTCTGCTTCTTCTCTTTTTTGCATGAATGTCCTGCCAGGGGAAGATGGAGATCAAGATGGTAGTTTGTATTTCATGCTGAGTCATTGTTGCTTGGCTTGCGATTCCCACCCCTCTTTTGTCCGTTTCTTTTAATGTTGTCGTAGTTTAGGGGTCACCTAAAATGAAACAAAGTCTAATCACACACCTCCCAATCCTGGTTCTGAAAACTATTAACAGTAATTACAAATCCAGTCCTTCCTGTTGTGTAAAGTGTGATTTGGTGTACTGTATGCTTGGAAACCTTAACTTTTAAATAGTTAAATGTGGTGATTTATATGACAGCATACTGATCTTGATTAGCATTTTAAATATTTCTGATGAAATTGGTTTGATTTACATACTAATTCAAATTAAATTAACAGAGATAAACAGAAAAGTCGGTATAACTTTACTCTGGTATACAGTGTTGTTAAAGGTATCTACACTCTTACATATTTGTTCTTTGTCCCTTCATGTTTTACATCCTCAAACAGATTTTTGATAGCAGAGAAAACAAGGCTAAATAATTTTACAATGAAAATAACTTTTATTAAGCTAAAAAACTTTCTAAACAAACTTGTGTGAAAAGATGATTATCCCTTGCATAAATAAAGGATTTTTCAATAACTGGCAAAAACTATTTTACAATACACTGGAGGAGTTTTCCCACTCTTCTTTGCAAAGTTCTTTTGATTTCAGCCCCAGTTGAAGGTTTTAGAGCATGAACAGTCTTAAAAAGATTTGAGTCAGGATTTAAATAACATAACTCAGGACATTCTCTCTCATGACGTAGTAAACAAAAATTAGTGAACAAGTTTGCACAGACCATCACACTACCACCACATTACCTTAATGTATATAAATTGTCTATTTTTTTGGTAATTTAATGCCTGATTCCCAAACATCATGAACACAGAAAAGGAGGTCAGCAGATATTATCTTTAGATATTATTCTGGATTGTTTTCTGACCTGCTGGATTATATGTTGAGGCACTTTTAATTGGCCAGTCACTCCAGAAATGGCTGCGTTTAAGAACATTGCCTTACTATTGCTTTTTCTAACTCTTTTAACTGGTGGATTTTTAAAGCTTTTACTCTGTTTTGCTCTGGTTTATATCAGAGAAGATACAGTTTATTCCTTTTTAAAATGCTTCAACCTAGCATGTGTCATCAGACAGTTCTTTACTGATCGTAAAGGTCCAGCACAGGTCTGCTCTGATTTGTTACCTGAAATTTATCATAGCTTTCTAAATAAATGTAGTTAATCATGGTTAAGTCTATGTTTTTGTTGTTTGTTGTTTTTCTAAAAAGAACTGGGCTAGTTTAAAAAGAAAAACTTGTTAAATGAAATCTTCATTGGATATTTGTCTGGTATTAAAATATGTCGAACAGTCTTATGCAAAAGCAAAAGCAGGAGAAATCTGTAAGAGGGTGAATACTATCTATCAGCACTGTATGGTTATTGAAAGAGAATGCACAGTAATACTGCTGCAGTAAGGTAAATATATATATACATTTTTTATGATATATATATAAGTGGACTAAATAAAAAAAACAATAATATAAAGGTATTAATAAGCTATTCTTCATAGTGTTGATTTGTTTAACTTAGTTTAGAAACTGTAAACAGTTATCCTGGTTTAGAAAAATAACATATAAAGAACCTTACATATAAATTTATTTTCTTACATAGTTTTCGAAACGGAGATAGATTTGTCCTGTAGGCTTTGTAGTCTTGCACTAAATGTAAACAAGTAATAAAATGTGAATTATCTTAACTGAAGTTTGTCCTTATCTCTTTGACCTCAGCCAGTATTACTGTGTGTTTACATAACTTCAAACAGATGCTTCATTTAATTAAATAGGTCACTGTTGTTGGAAAGTATAGCTAAAATTAAAACTCACTCTCACATTACGACCGGAGGTGTAACCTGCATCCCTGAGTCATCTACCTATTCTATTCTAATTTTTCACTCTTCTGTCTTTTTATTTCTTTTTTTATTATCTTTTTTTCTGATTAGAGGAGAAGCCAAAGTTCAAGTGAGTATGTGTGGTCCTATTACTACTACGTTAATCTTCTGTGTTATTTTACATTTTTTATTTATAATATTTAATTTCTTATCATGTCTTTGAACAGACCAACTGCCCCAAAGATCCCTGATGGCGAGAAAGTGGACTTTGACGTGCGTACTCACAATTTCCATTATTTAAAAAAAACATTTACATAAAAACACTATTATAAAATATTTCACACTTGGTAAATACCATGCATTTAACCTAATCGCTGCAAAAAAGGGCTACAATTAAAATAAATACCTTCTTTGCAATAATATTTAATAAACAAATCAGTGGGTGAAAAAAAATCTGGGTTTTAGGAAAATCGTTACACCGTGGAATAAATCTTTATATGAAATATCAAGCAGAAAAAAAACATAATTTAACTGATACAGTATATCAAAGCCTAATTTAAATAATGAAAATCCTTCCTTGTGATACCATCTAAAGTTTCAGTCCTACTCTGGGCAATATGTCTGCAAATTTTTTGTCATGATGTGATCAATCAAAAGACGGCTACATGCAGCTTTTCAATGCATCACAAACATCCTGGAGAATTAAAATAAATAAGTTGAGCTAATATTTAGTCTTATCTAGAAATATGGTTTAAGATTTTGAACTGTTCTTCCAATAGCTCTACAGTTAGCATAGCAATAATACCTAAATTATAAAAGCAAGTTATGATATTGATAGTAGCTATAAGAATAAGTATCTATAAAGATATATGTTTAGATTCTGCACTATAAAATACAAGAACACAATTGTTAAAAAGAAATACAAAAAAAGAAAAGTTACGATCTCAGGGATGTAATAGTACTCTTAAATTATAGTCAGAATTAATTGTTATGTTTTATTGCATGGATCCGAATGTAAATGTTGTATATAATTCTACAATAAAAAAGAGATAATTATAATATTTTGAAGCACTTATTCATCATTATTGATTGTTGTTGTTGTTGTTGTTGTTTTTTGCATAATCTCTATTGATTAAAATAACAAAAAAATAGCTAATGAAACATTTAAGCAAAATAAGACAAATTAATCAACTTAAGAACTGCTTACAGTAAAATTACATATTTTATTTTTTACTTTCCTTTGTACTTCTATTAGTTTTTTTATTCATAATATTGATTGAAATATATGTTTTCTTGCTCTGTCCATTATTTTTATATAATTAGGCTTTTTAAGGTCCTAAACCTTTAATATCTGTATCATTATTAATACAAACAAAGAAATAACATTTGAAAAAAGTTTATTTGCTCATCATTGTATATAAAGTTTTCATACAGAATAAAATGATAATAATTTTTAATAATAAAAAATAAATAATTTTACCTAATCTTAGGTAAAGATTGACTCTTGTATTTAATGTAAATACCAGTGAAATCTAATTCTAGATTTCTGGACCAGAGTTTTCTAAAGTATTTATTCAAAAGTTACGGACTATGACTTTAAGATTACAGAAATGGTTTGCTGTGAGTGATCTCTTGTATTTGTTTTCTATATTTTTGGTTGCCTTTTTATCTATTTATTATTGACAACAACCTGCCTTATGTTCAGCTGCAGGTCCTTCCTGACAAATCTTTTGCATTCTTCACAGGACATTCAGAAGAAACGTCAGAACAAGGATCTGGTTGAGCTTCAGTCACTGATCGATGCTCACTTTGAGTGCAGGAAGAAAGAGGAGGAGGAACTCATTGCTCTCAAAGAAAGAATTGTGAGATTTCTATAAGAATAAAACAAGTTGTGCAGTTATGCTGTTCACTTGGAGTGAAACTGTTACATTTGACCCATTACTGCTAGAGGTCATAGTGTTGTTGGTTTATCTTATCAGGAAAAGCGACGTGCAGAGCGAGCTGAGCAGCAAAGGATTCGGGCTGAGAAGGATAAAGAGCGACAGGCGCGGCGTGAGGTACAAAAAACAATTTATGTGAAATTTGAACATTTTACATAAGGAAGGAAAAAGGAAGTTCTCATTGGAAGGAATCAATCTAATCAGGTTCAGTGCTGGCCTCTTCTGGCCTAGAGATGTTTGCACATATTTAATAAATCTATTAACAGCCGAGGTGGGTAGAAGGTTTTTGTTGGAAATATTACTTAATTTATACTTCTTGCTTCTTTTATTAACCATTTACCAGCTTGAGAGGATGAGAAAAGAGGAGGCTGATGCTCAGAGGAAGGCTGACGATGATGCCAAAAAGAAGATAGCGCTCACCAATATGGGATCAGGCTTCAGCAGCCACCTGCAGAGGGTATTTAATTATTTCATTTGGTCTCTATCACTGATACAGATTTTTGTTCAATCCCATCAAGCCGATTCTAATACTCTTCTTTCTTTTCAAGATTGATGCAAAGAGAGGCAAGAAACAGACTGAAAGGGAAAAGAAGAAGAAGGTTTTGGCAGAGAGAATCAAACCACTGAGCATTGACAGCCTCACAGACGACCAGCTGAGGTAAAATGATCCAACCTTTAACATTTGCTGCCGTGTTGTTTTATTTCTTTTTAAACAAGCACAATTTCAAATTCATTTTTAGCAGATAAATCTGAGTGTGCTAATTAATTCTCAGGATAAATAAGCAGTTGTGTTAAAAATATAAGCCATTAATCTGGATAATCATCATTATTCATAGAAAAAGTATTTTGTTATGGTAAACAAGATACTAGCCTATGAAGCTGAGTAACATTTTAGTAAGATTGTTAAAAAATATAAAAATAAATAATAACAAAAAAATAATAATAACAAAATGTTTAAAAACAGAATATAAAAATGGATGTGATTTATTAGTTAAAGAGACATCAAACAGACATTTAAACTAAATAATTCAACATGATTATTATCATGGATTCAACATTTAGCAAAACTGATAATACTGTAAGTGTAAGCAGTGCAGAGCTAAATGTAGCTAAGATAAAGCCTAATTCTTTACTATAGAAACCCAAGTCAAAATAGCGAGGGGAGCGAAACGTCACTGCACTGATTAAAGAAATTGCTGATCCATCCCAAACACAGAAAATAATCCATGACACCGTGTATTTGTGTCTTTTAGGGAAAAGGCCAAAGAGCTGTACGACTGGCTTACTAACCTGGAGGCAATTAAATACGACCACTGTGAGATGCTCAAGAGACAAAGATATGAGGTGAGTGATGAAAAAACACCAACTGTTTCTGCTTAAAAAAATAAAAATAGCAAGTCATAGTTAAGATTTGAAAATTAAGGAAATCTCAAAGTAGTTATGAGGTAAGTTTTTTGCAGTAGTTATATTGTGCTGCAGTGGAGGTACACATATGGCATATATGCCTATTTTACAATTCTCCACATTGGTAACTAGGATTAGAATAGATTTAATCTCAAAACAACAATAAATTTGTAAATTGAGGAATAGAAATATAGGAAGTATGTTTCACAATATTTTTTTTCTACTTTCAAAGGCTATGATTTTAACTTAAGCAGGGTGAAAGGTTTCTTTATCTGCTTAACTAGAAGTTGTTTCTTTCAGGTCATCTCTCTCAGAAACCGCATCGATGAGCTGCAGAAACAGTAAGTAACAAAGACAAAGACTAAAAGACAAACCAGCAGCAGTATAACATATAATTCACACGACATACAGTTACACTAAACACTGGGTTCCTGTACAGTTTGAAATAAACCTGGAGAAAGTAAAAAGATATGGGAACATTTTAAGACTTTATTCCCTGTCCCTTAACTTGTCGTATCCATCGTCCATCCATCAGTCCGTCCATCCATCAATCCATCAATCAATGCATCCATCATCCATCCATCCATCCGTCCATCTATCTATCTATCTATCTATCCAGCCATCATCCATCCGACCATCCATCCATCCATCCATCCATCCATCCAGCCATCATCCATCCATTCATCCATCCGTCTGTCCATCCATCCATCCATCCATCCATTGATCCTTCCATCCATCCATCTATCCATCCATCCATCTATCCAGCCATCATCCATCCGACCATCCATCCATCCATCCATCCATCCATCCATCCATCCAGCCATCATCCATCCATTCATCCATCCGTCTGTCCATCCATCCATCCATCCATCCATTGATCCTTCCATCCATCCATCTATCCATCCATCCATCTATCCAGCCATCATCCATCCGACCATCCATCCATCCATCCATCCATCCATCATCCATCCATTCATCCATCCGTCTGTCCATCCATCCATCCATCCATCCATCCATCCATCCATCCATCCATCCATCCATCCATCAATGAATCGTTTACATCTCATCACTTATCAGCAGAGGGCGCTGTTCCTCTAAGGATTATTTGGTTCAACTAAACCTCTCTACCGTTTTGTATTCTAGTCCCCACCATTCTATTTAGTTCTGAATTTGTGTCGCTCTTTGCGTCCTGCAGCAGCAAGAAGGGAGCCGCCTCGCGCCGCAGGAAGTGAGCATCGATCCTCCAAAGGACAGCAGCTCAGACTCTGGGGCGACAGCTTCAACTGGATGTCTTAGTTCCTGCTTAAATGCAGTGGTTTCAGCATAAGAATAGCTTCAATAAATAAAGTGTTTTAAAAGAATAATGTCAATATTTTTGTTTAAGAAATACTATTCTCTTTGTTCACCTTAACTGATGTGGTTCATGAGAATTGAAAAGTCACTTTAATAAAGGCATGAAAGACATAATAATATAAATAAGAGAAACATGTTTTCTATTATTTATGCTTCTCATTTCTTTTTCTAAATACATTCATTTTTTACATTTTGGGACAACTGTACAATTGTAGAACAACACAGAGCCACAGAGAAGACACCCATGCATGCATACTATTCCTTCAACAATTGTAAAGCTCAGAAATAATAATTATAAATAAAATAAAACTTTCGGTCTTTAAATATTTATTACATTTAAGTCTTCTTTACAAAAGCTTTAGGTGATCCTGCCATGGTCACTCTTAAACATTATGGTCAAAGCTGGTGTTGTCCGTATTAAGCCTAGCCTCACTATGTCATACAGATATTTTATTTAAGTTAAAAAAAAAAGCTCAAACACCACACAGCTGGCTTATAAAAACACTGCAGCCATAGAACAAGCAAACACTGTAAATAATGTTTCATAAGTTGGTTGGAAATTAATGGGCACAATGAATTATAATGTTGCTCTAGAAAGAGCTGGAAATTATAGATATATTCTTCAGTTTTTTGTTTAACTCTAAGAACTTTTTAAAAATCAAAATAAATGAAGAAAACAGGAATACAATCAAATGTGGTGGAAGCCATGGTTGTGAAAACAAGTCACAGTATAAATATGTAGCTATTTATCAAGGTTTCATCAGCTTTTAGATTTTATACCTACATTGACACCAATACTTTTATGGTGTTTTTTACCGTAGCATGAATATTCAGGTGTATTAATGGTCCTCAGTTCTAATCAGCAAAAATCTTCTGAAAAAAACTTTACCAAGACTCCTGGATTATTAAAAACAGACAGCAGAATTTCTTTGTAAGCTAAAAAAGTCCAGGCAGACCAATTGCATCCACAAGAAAAGGAGTCTATTTAAGTAGCTTAATTCAGAAATCAGGAATAATTTAGTGTTCTCCTCCTAAAAAATGGAGGCAATCTTTCTGTCCATGCCGAAAAGGATGTTCTGTTGACTCCATCAGGATGAAATTGGCTCATAGATGCTGCTGGGATCAGCAGATGAAGAAGATACACCACAGCTGCTGTGAGGGGATTCAGTGCCTTGGGGGACAACGCTGTCTCCAACGGGGGCCACTGCTTGATCTGTGCTAATGCGTTCCACGATGCTAGACAAGCAGTCCAAACTGGAAATGAGCGATGTTTTGCTGCTCTTGCAACCTTCAGACAAAAATTTAAAAACCCATAATTAAAATCAAGGAATTAGTTTAAAATTAATTAAATTAAAATATACATTGATGTATCTGATCCTAAGGCAAGCATTTGTTTTAAAACTGACTTTTCAACCTCTAATATTGAGTAATTGCACATGTTCACCTGTCGTTCTTTTCATTTAGATTTTTTCTCCTAATGTAATGGTATTTAAATATTTAGATTTGAATCCTGTTACGAAACTATGAAGTGTAGCTAATGTAACAATAAAAGGCTAATTGATCTAGAGTGATCTGTAAACAAAAGTTGTTGACGTGGCTGTAATCCCTCATAAGCAAGCATGGGGGACAGTGGAGAGGAACTATTCCTTCATGCAGGTGTTGGTAGCAAAAACTAAAATGTATGCTTTTTTAATTATTTCTCAGTTTATATACTTGTAACCTAGCAACAGTAACGTTTTGGCTAAGAATAAATGCCTTCCACTTATCTAGTCTCTGGCTCTTTAAGTAAGTGGACTTCAAAGCTTTCAGTCATTCACACAACAATGGTGGCAAACTGCTGTGGCCCCTATATCCACCATCAGTAGACAACAACTGAGACTGAAGGAGCTGGGGTTCAAACCAGCAACCCTCCAATATGGTAAAGAACCACTGCATCCTACGCTACTGTCAACATGAGCTGGAGATCCAGGAAACAATGACAGAAAGCTGATTTAAAAAAAAAAGTTTGCTATGCACTCAGTGGCAAATCAGTCATTTTAACTATATAACTTATGCTGTAAAATATCAACATGCAGAATTTAATCTACCTTCTAACTATCAATCTGTTGTCTTCTTATTTGCGACCTGGTAGTGGGGATTAAAGGGGAACCAAGACTCTGGGGATCCCAAGCTCTCAGTAGGTAAATATAAACATTACAACAAACTCTGGGTTAGCCGCAGAGCCTTCTCCAAGTTACACGTAATGCATCTCCCACCCCAACCTTACCTCATTCAGAAAAGACACAAACTCCTCGGTTTGTAGAGATTAAACCTCACACCTGGTGAATCAAACCTCTGTTTTTCTCTGCAGACAGTGTCCCCTGACTTATAGCAGCACTCATCCGAATTAAGTTTAAAACACTGGAGCAGAGTGAAAGTCATTATTTTGAGGACAACTTCATTTGCAAAAAAGGGAAAGATGAAAACACAGGTTTCCCAAAACAGACTCCTTTCTCTCCAAAATTCTGCCTCAGGATCTTATCTATGGACACCATCACAAGGATTGGGAACGTAAGACAACCATGTTTGAGTTCAACCTGGACTGTTACAGTAACTGGCTCAACTTTGGGCTACAGTAAGTATCTTGAATCGCCTCATGCTTTGGTTTATGCAGATAAAACATCCTCGGCAAACCAGACTCATAATAACTCTTATATACAGCTTGTAAGGATTTCCCCTAAAGATCACATAAGCCTCCGCTGGACTCACAAACCACACGGTTCATTGAGGATAATTATATGCTCCTAAAGACAAACCTTTAAGTAAAAAATGAATTAATAGAGACAATGATTAGGAAATGACATGATTTCCTACAGAGATAGAGCCTAAATTGAAGAAAAAAATATACATGCAGCTACATTTGAACTTCAGCATAATGAGTTCCCTGTGTTCTGAATAAATATACGATTTGATGATTTTAATGAACTGGATTGATATAAAAAATGTTTTGTTGAGGATATATGAATAGAAGACAGAATGTCAGATGTGAATAAATGAAAGAAAAAACAAAACAATACCACTCACCCTCTGCTGTTTGTTTGCCATAGGAAGAGTTGCCGTTTTCACTGCTGGTCGAACACGGAGAGATGAAATCCATCTGAAAATTATATGTTATAATTTTATGAAAACAAAAGGATGTAACACAATTCATCCCAATTCAGTTTCTTCAAAATACCATTTTATGATTTATTTTTTTTCATTGACAACATTTAATTTTTTAAATGGAAATTATAAATATATATATTTTTTTTTAAGTTCAACAAGAACACTATTTGAGTATGCACTTACTGGGTTTGAATACAATTCTACTGGGTTCCATTCTAAAGGCACCATTCATCAAAAGTAATCACTGGAGCCCAAAATAAATCTCTAGTTACATTCCTCACATTTCATTGGGCAGCACATGAACTGTTCAGCTGTTCTTGGCCTCACCGTGTTGTCTGAGCAGTTGGAGTGGGGGCTGGAGGAGTTGGACTCCCCGCTGTAGTGCTCGAGCTGTGGGTAGAAGCTGTCGTTTTGGCCGGCCCGCAGCAGCGCCTGCAAAGACTCGATGTAACTGATTGCATTTCTCAGGATCTCCACTTTGGGCAGCCGCTGGTTTGGGTTGGAGGCAGTGCAGCGCTTCAGCGTCTCAAAGGCATCATTGACTTTACTGAGTCGTCGTCTCTCTCGCATTGTTGCTGCCTTCCTCCTGTCTGCATGCGTTGTCTTCCTCTTGCAGGCCTTGCAGGCCCACAGCAGGCAATGCCCCCCCTGGTGGAGGCCCCCAGGGGCCCTCACATGCTGGTCCTCCTCCTCTGCTGTTGGCACATGGTGATGAAGATGGTCCTCTGACTTGAGCAGCCCACCATGTGTCAGCCTGGCGTCCAAATCATCAAAAAAGTTCAGATCGCTGGTGTTGAAGCAGGGGTCGTAGAGGTCATCAGCTGACGAGAGAGAGAAGGGAAAGTCTGACAAATCCATCGGCCCCTGCCGATGACTCCTTGACGAGCAGAGCGAAGACAATTACGACGAGGACTTTAAAAAACTTTTAAAATCTCCCCAAAAGTCTTCTCTGTTTGTTTACTATTATTTAGAGCAGGTGACCGATGAAAATAATCAAAATGTCACAAATCTGATGTGAAAGGGAGTTTAAAGAGTTTCCTTTGCCATGGACTGCCTTTATAAAGGGGTCAGGGTGGAGGCGGACCAATGATATAAGTGACCAATGGCCTGCAGCAGTGTGTGTAGGTGTGTACTGTGTGACTTTGTGTGTACTGTGTCATCAGCGCAGGGAAAGAGGAAGCAATGAAAATGAAAGTCAGGTTCATGTTCACAAATCATCCAGAATGATCCTCCACTTTACGCTGAGGTATAAGAGATGACCATAAAATAGATCTTCATGTGGTTTAATATGACTGATTACTTCATTTAAAGCAGTTAAAAGCCAACCCTTACGATCAACCCAAAAATTGTAGTGTGTTATGCATAGAGGCTTGCTAAGTCCAGCACGGTGCAGCAAATGTTTAAAAGTAGTGGTAGGGTTTTGCATTACAATGGGGCCTACATAAAACAGAAATATCTATTTTCCAATAAATTAGAATACTTTAAAAGTAAAACTACTGCCCTGTGTGTTGTGAGTAGCTTCTTTGTCCCTTTTCCTATTTGCTGTCAGCAGTACTCACACTGAACGCTGCATGAGCACATGGAGATCAGTAATAGGATACAGGGTCTATCATCATCAGTGACTGAAATGAATCTGAAAGAGCATTTCGGGGAAGGTGTTAAACATATGGTTTTACGTGCTGTGCATCAGGGTTCCCCGGTTTTAATGATCTGTCATTCATCTGCAAACTAAAAGCTGGTCAGAGACTAAATGAGTGAGAAAGTGTGATAGGCCATTTTACAGAAACAATACCAAAATAAATAAATAAATACATAAATAGGGAGAATATTTAACTCTTTAAAGCTTTAAAGGAATAGTACACCCAAAACATGATTAGCCTTAATTTTCTACTCACCCCCATGCTGAACAACACTCTGGAGTACTTTTTTGATATCTCAAATGCATCTGGAGATCTGGGAGGCTTCTTGCTGTCTGCTGA